GGGTCCATGGAGCAGCATGCTCATTCTCTCAGGGAGAAGCATCTTTGCCCAAAGTCAAAACAAAGAGAAAGCCTCCCCACCTCCCTGACTGCTCAAATGGGAGGCAGCTGCCTCCACCCTGTCTGCAGGTCAACAGTGGGGTCAGGCAGCAGCCCTCCCTGACCTCACTCAGCCCTGGGTGCCCCCACTCATTCTGCCTGCTCACAAACCCCATAACAGGCACCACAATAAGCGATATGAATAACTGAGATATCCTTACTATAAGCAAGCCTGCTGGCTCACACCTATAATCCTAGGAAGCTGAAGCTGGACTCTGACGAGTTTGAGGCTAGCCTGGACTACAGACTAACGAGACAACCAGGGCTGTAGACTGAGAGAGTCTCGAGTATCTCTGTCTGTGTTTATATAGATAAATGCATTTGTGACTGGTCATCCATGTTGCAGCATGTATCAGTGCACTGCTCACTGCTAAGTAGAGGTTCACTGTGTAATTGATATACCACATATGATTTATCCATCGACCAGCAATGTACCCACATTTCTACGTTTGCTCCCATGTTTAACCATGGTGAAGACTTATTTACAACTTCTAGTGTACATTTCCAACTTTCTTGGGTCCTGGTGCATACATTAGCCATGTGTCCCCTCTCCCCACCCCCTCAGCAGGCAGCCAGTGGCTTTCTTCGCAGGAACCAGCAACACCCCGTCCACACTCCTCCATGTTGCTACTAAGTTCCAACACATTCTGACCTGGGGACAGGCCACTTTCCAGGATAAAGAAGGTATCTGTTGAGAAAGTAGGTGGCAATGGCAGATTGTCCCAGCAGCTGCAGAAGGTACCCGAGCCTCTGGACCTCCCTAGGCTTTCCCTGTTGCCCTTCTCTCCACCCTCCTAACTCCTAACTCCAGCAGAGGTTAGGGGTCCTTCCTGAGGAGACTGCAAACACAGCAGCTGCTGCTGCGTCTCCCCAGCTGACCTGAAGGGCTCTGAGGGCAGAGTGTGGGCTTAGCTGGGGATGCCAAGGTGATGTTCCCACCAAACAGTGTTTCATACACACCTCTACTGAAAAGGTGGTGCCCATCCTTCAGACATCAGGAATTTGGGATGGTCTTACTTAGGGTCACTATTGCTGTGATGAAACCACAATCCACTGAAGGAAGTCAGGGCAGGAACACACAGGGCAAGAACCTGGAGGCAGAAACTGATGCGGAGGCCATGGAGGGGTGCTGCTTACTGGCTTGCTCCCCATGGCTTGTTCAGCCTGCTTTCTTATAGAACCTAGGACCATCAGCCCAGGGCTGGCATCACCCACAATGAACTGGACCCACCCCCATCAGCCACTAATTAAGAAAATGTCCCACAGGCTTGCCTACAGCCTGATTACCTGGAGACATTTTCTTAAATCAAGGATTTATCCTCTCGAATGGCTCTAGCCTGGGTCAAATTAACATAGTTACCCAGCACAGGGATGGTGGGAATGGGTATTCTTCAGTTTTATTCCCCCCCTCCAAAAAAAAATGTATTTTTCTTTCCCTTAACAGGACTCTCTATGCAGCGCTGGCTGGCTTCAACTCCACAACCCTGCCCCTGCCTCCAGGGTATTGTGATTAAAGGTATGGGCCACCACATCAACCTGAAATTTGAGATCTTTTAGAGTAGAATTATTCCTGGTGCCTACAAGTGTTCTCTCCTGAGAACTCAGGGGTCAGTGTGAAGCTCTTGTCTTTCCCTTTGCTGTCTGGAAGCGAGAAGAACATATGTCCACTTCATTGTGCTCTTGCCTAGAACTCCCGTCAAGTCCTTTGGGCCTAGGCTTCCTGACTTTTTTTAAATGTGACTAGATTCTTTCCCCAGGTCAATATATTTGGTTTAGGATTCGTTACCCCTCTCCCCAGAAAACAAAACACACAGAAAACCAAACCAGAACTGTCAAAGTGTGACTTCTAATTGTGTCTGACTTTAGTCTAAACAAATGTTCTCCCTATAATATGGAGATCCGCATATCTACAATAAAATTGAAAATGAAACAAACAAAGGGCTTGGAGTGCTTACCCTGGGCTTTTCCCTTCCCACAGGCTCAGTTGGTCAGTCTCTTAGTTTGCTTTCTACCAACGTGGTGACCAAAACACCATTCCCAAAGGCAGCTTGGGAGGGGAGGGCTCATCAGCTTACCTGTCAGTCACAGTCCAGCCCTGAGCCATCAGGGCAGGAGCCGGGAGGCAGGAACTCACATGGAAGCCATGGCAGAACGCTGCTTACTGACTTGCTCAACCTTTCTTGTCTCTCTTGGTTGTGAGCCTCACACAGAACTCACCCTCTGTGACTGAATCTCTCCAGCCTTCAGCCTGCTGTCTCATACAATTCCGAGGCTAGTCCCGCCCATCTCAATCACTAATCAAGAAAATGCCCCACAGACTTGCCTATGGTTCCCTCTTCTCAGGTGACTTGCTTGAGGCAGAACGAAAAAACCTAGCCCAGACAATAATAAGTCAAGATACAGTGATAACTTTGGAAATAACTACGCTTTTCAGTTTTCTAATTCAAGCAGTTAAGAGACAGCATATTCCCTTATTATCATAGCTTCTAGTGCCAAGCCACTGCGAAGATTCCATCTGCGTGCTGAATCGTGGACTTTCCTTTCCTGTGTAGTAAAGGTTGAGCCTAAGAGATACCTCGCTATGACATCTCCATCCTCTCTCTGAGTCTTCTGTGAATTCCAAGCTTTTGGATCCCAGAAGGGCCTATTTAACACGTATCTAATTCTCACTTTCCCTTTACCGCCCCCCAAAACACACAGTTGTGAGAAACAGCAACCCAACGCCATGTCTCCCCTACCTCAGTTTTCTTGCTAATTCAGAGGCTCACGGAGACCAGCGTCTTCAGAGATTTCTCCGTTTAGTTCCTCCCTGATGGAAGCAACGTTTTTCATAAAAGCCCCACGTTGGGAATAATGCAAGTGCCTCTCAAGTGGCAAATGGGTTGCCCAAACTCAATATGCATGAAAAGTAGTAATACATGCAAAAATGCTATGCCTGATACAAAACATGGCACATCATGGTTCCATTAATACACAATGCCCACAAAAGGCAAATGAAACAGGTTAGTGGATCAGGGGCAACACAGCTGGGCATCAGAGGAGGGATTAACCGCAAATGGACACCAGGAACTTTGGGAAAGTGGTGCGGGAGAATTATCTGTATTCTTTCAATCATATTTTAATAAAACGCTGATTGGCCAGGCAGGCAGTATAGGCGGGAAAGCCAGACAGGAAGTAGAGGTGGAGCAAAGAGACTGGGAGTATTCTGGGAAGCAGAAAGCTCCCTGCAGTTCTGCCCAGACCACTGGAGAGGAAAGATGTAAGCTGCCCTGCTGGAAAAGGTACTGAGCCATGTGCTAATGTAGATAAGGATAATGGGGTAATACATGATACAAGGACTAATAAGGAGCCTGACCTAATGGGCCAATCAGTTTATAACCTTATGGAGTCCTGTGTGTGATTTTCTTTGGGCTTGCCGGCTGTGGGGTACTGGGCGGAACAGAAACCCCAACAAGCCGGCCCGTCATACTACAGGAAAGAACACGGGCATGGTTTCCAACCACATTTAGTGATGGTTGAGTAAGTTTGGGAACGTCAATTAACTGCTTTAGTTGTTCTGAGGCAAGTTCTCCTGAAGATCAAAGCTGCTGTGGCAATCACTACATAGCTGAGGCTGACCTTCAGTTCTTGATTCTCCTGCCTCTGTTTTCCCTGTGCTGAGAGAGCAGGCATGCATTGTCATGTACAGCCTCGTGTGTAAATTATATTTCAACAGAGTTTCTGTGGGGGAAAGGCTTACCGGTGAAATATAGCCATCTGACCTGGACTAGGTGAAATTTCTGGTTCTCTCATCCCTTCACAACTATGAGGGATTTATCAAACTAATGAAAACTATATTAACAGGTTTTCCCAAGACTGTCCTACAAACTGTGCCCTCTTCTAGGCCCCATCTGAGGGTTAAAAACCACTGGGATCCACTAAACTCGAGTTGTACCCACAGTAAAGGAGACTCGGGGTTTACAGACAGCCCAAAACCCACAGATTCAGAAGGGGATGGGGGGGGGGGATTTGGAGCTCTGTCCTTCCACTAAAGGGGACAAAGTGGCTTTCCATCCTCCCAATTACTCAGACAGCATGTCCGACTCAAGGATTTTTTTCTGTGTTCAAGGCCCTTTATCGGCTATACCCCCTCTACGCTTTAGGACACTGGACGACTCTCCCTGCAGCTTTTGGAGAACACCGTGCCACTGACACAAACGCTACTCTTCACTGAGAGACCCGGATGTGCTGATGACTCTGCAAAGCACAACACACCTGTACGCGAAGACACCAGGCTGTCAAGATGGCTACTGGTTTAGGGCTAATTGTCTAGACCTGACTGTCTTTGCAGAATTTCATAGGCTCCTAAATGCATAGCCCTTTCTCCACAGGGGTTCCAAAGGACTGGAGCGTCTCAGAGGAGCTCAGGTGGTACCCATCTCCCCTGGCCCTGGGGTTTGCACCGGCAGCCACTCTTCTCTCATCCCCCACCCAAGCCCAGTTTCAGTGCTGTTTCCAGAAGGACGCACTGGACTACATGGATTGGTGGGGGCATTCCAGGTTTGCTCAAGGGAAGGGGAGCCAGCCTACCATTCAAGAAGCACTTAGTCCTACCAGAAAAGCCACAGTCAAAGCAGTTGGTTTTTGGCTCAGCCCTCCCAACCCACCCTTTCCCGCTGGCTATGGGCAGCAGTGAGCACAGGAATGGTTACTACCGGCTCCTCCTCACCGAACACAGATGGGGCCCTCCCATGTGTCTCATCAGCAAGGGACAATGGAGCTCACCTTAGACGTATACAAAATGACACTAGGGGACAAGGGATGGGGCTGTCCAGAAAACGAGTGAGAACAGGGCAGGACGTTCATCTTTCAGAAGCCTGGTGCTTAAGGAATGCTTCTCCAATGACAAAATGCACAGAAAAGTCAAAATACCATCGAATTTTTATTATTATTGTTTTTCTATCTCAGTTTCAGTAAAAAGATTCAGAGAACTGATTGACACATATCATAAACTTTCACCCATATACAGTTTATATACAGTGTTGCTACCATTTCCTCTTCACTGAAGGAGGCGGCATTACCTGCGTCCAACCAAAGTGCGAGTGAGGAGAGAAGGCTAAGAGAAAGGGGGCGGTCTTTAATCTCAGAGACCGAGTGTGCACCACCCACGGTGGAAGAGGACAGCAGCGGGTACCACACAGCAGGTTCGCATCACTGTGGAAGGCGTCCCCAGCTCTCATCTGTCCACCACATTCTGCAGTAGCTGAAGCCTCTTCTGGTGCAAATAGAACGCTGACTGGAGTCCGGCTCTGCCGGTGATTGCTAAAATATAGTCCATTTTAATATACATGCTATAAAAGTATACTAGAAATGTCAATCTTCAGAGCTTTCTTAAAATTGGGAACCTACTTTTTACATGGCAAAATGTATACAATCTAAAAGTCTATTGAGAAAAGCTTTTACTGTAACCCCAATGGTCCTAATTCCATCCTCTGTTTAGGAGAATATTGACTTTTAATACCTATGAGTAAGCAATGCTTCCCTAATTCTGTCTTATAACACCTCACCAATGCCACAGGACCGTGATGGGCGAGGGGAATCAACGTCGTCCTGAAGCCGCTCAGTGCATCTTCCTATCACAAGGATTTTTGCTGTTTCTCTGGAGTGGGAAGGGGGACAACAGAACTCACTTCACAGGTGGCCCGACTGAAAAGCCATCGGCCGTGGCAGCGCCGTCACGAGGCAGAGGCAGGACGCAATGGAGGCCTGGTGCAGTCCCAGGTCGCAAGTCACCTAGTAGAGACCAGACCCAACAGTGATGGCATTCTCAGGGCTGAGGGCCACATCTGCTAGGCTCGGCACACACACCATGTGAGGAGAGCACACACGGTGGCTGGAGGCGCAGCCTCAGAACACAGGCACATCTACAGCAGGAAGGGAATGTGTGATCACTGAAATTCATTTCTAATTTAAACAAAATATTTACTCTTTTCATTACCAAAATATCCTTTACAATGTATCTATTTCTCCCCCTGAACACTGAGGTGGAGAACTAGGCGTTGGCTGAGGGTGGCCAACAACGCGCAATGTTAAGATGGCTGTAGAGTGCGTACAGGAGCTATGTCCAGGGCCTTAGGTGTCCTCCAGTCTGGTGACAATGTCCGGCCCACCCCAGGGAGGCATGGCATTCATGTGCTTTTCTTCTTAATGGCTACAATTTCTGCTTGGATTTTACGACATGATGGGAAGAACAGTTGCCAGCAGGGAGTTGGCAGGGGCCTGGGTCTTCTTCCCAGGTGAGGTGCACAGAGAGCAGGAGGCAGCCCCTCACCTCGGCACCAGCCAGGGCTCCGCCCCAGCCCCAACCCCCATGGGACTCAGGGAATCAGTTCACAGGGAACTAAGATCCACAGGTTACCACCAAGCCACCGGATGACTTTCCGCAGCTTTTGAGGCGCCACTTCTGGGTCTCTTGGGAAGCTGGCTCTGGTTTTAAAGAGTTTAGTCAGAAGTGGATGCTCACACCTGCTTTTGGACAAATCAAAAGAGGCACAGGTTTCAGCCTCTAGCCTCCGAATTCTGAAACTACTTAAAATCAGGACGTTTCCACTCAGCAGACTGTTACCTCTCTGACAATTAGGCAGTCTCCCAGACGGAGCCCAGGAGTGGAACGCCTGCCTGGTGGGTGCAAGACCCTGGGTTCCATCCCCGGTACCATGAATAAACAACAAAAAGGAGGAAAAGAAAACAGAAAAAAAAGTGAACAATCATTCTTTTTCTTTCTTTTTTAATCTAACTCAGCCCTTCAGAAATACTTGAGTCTCTCAGAGGAGGGAGCCCCAGGACCTGGCTCCCCACGATGCCTGCAGCAAGCCTTGAGGCTACAGAGAGGCATTTCCCAACAATGTTTGTGCATAAGAGCTGACTGCCAGGCACAACCTCAGAGGAGCTCAACTTACAGTGTTTGAATCTTTAAAACACAAGTCTCCTAAACTGCAGAATCCAGCATGTGAGGGCAGAGAAGTTAACATGGGAAAACATCTTAGAAAAGGGCGGATCTCTCACGGGCGGGTACTTGCTATGCACTCATCAGTTAGATCACGAGTTTGTTAAATATTCACAGTAATTTCAGAGAAAGACATTCATATCTGCAAAACCTGCAACCGTCGCCTCTTCAGCTCCATGCCGGCTCAGCGCAAGACTTCAGAGCTGTTCTGAGGGCTCCTCCTTGGCAGTCCATCCTCTCAGGGCAGCTACGCCTTCAAGGTGGGCTGCAGGATTCCTTTCTCGATGAGATGTGTCTTCAAGGTTCTGTAGATGTTTAACTGCTGCTCTGGCTGGAGCACCAACAGCTGCTGCAGGACTTTACTGGGATTCGGACCCCTGATGAGGAAGCAAAGACATGTTGGCACTATTTGCACACCATCTGCACAGGGGCTAAGTGAGGGCAGGCTGCGGAAAACATATCTGAAGGGCTAAGCAACCACTGCCACAGAACTGCCACTGCTCCCACGTGAGCACCCAGCACTTGTGAGCACCAGCAACATGCCAGAATGACTGAGGCTTGAGACGCAAGAAGAGTGGGCAGGCATGGAGGGAAGGGCAGGCACAGAACAGAGACCTAAGTTCTACAGAAATTCTCTCAAGGGCAACCTGATAAAGGGCAAACCCTCAGGCCAGGAGACACAGGACAAACTGAAGAAGGACACAAAAAGAAATTTACAAGTTTTAGCCTCAAAGGGACTTCTAGACCATGTAAAGTACTTTGTTGATGAAATACCCTGGGGAACTACACTCGTTCACCTGAGAGACAAATCACTAAAGTCCTGAACTATGGATGCACCATAGTTTCCCAGGGAAATGCAAACAGCGTGACACCCTCCTCTGCTCTCTGAACGGAGGCCAAGGACAGCCCCGGCCTCTTGCCCATCCAGCAGAGCAGTCCACGCAGGAGGAAGGGGCCCCGGGAACAGCTACGGGAGCGGGCCCGCCACCCCTCTCTCCTTGGACTCACTCTTCCAGGATCCCTACTCCAGCCTTTCAGAGTATCACTCAGCGGGGGTACACAGAGCTAAGAGGAGCCCCAGGCAGGGGTCCCTCCTTCACACCCTGTGAATGGTCTGTGAAGCAAGAAAGACATAGCAGCTTATACCTGTAAGCTCAGTATTGGACATACTGAGGCAGAAGGATTACCATGAGTTGGAAGACAGGCTGGACTATATAGTGAGTTCTAGGTCAGTCTGATCTACAGAGTAAGACACTGACGCAAAACAAAACAAAACAAAAACAAAACCCTACAAACCTCCCACCTTAAAATATTTGTGTCTATCATTAGACCTTCCCCAGTGCACTTGCAGAGGGGTGCGTGTGTAAACAACAGTGAGATCTACTTAGAAAATCCCATTAGCAAAATATGTAGGATGGTGCGGAATTCTGAGACACACATTAAAAACAAGTAGGTAAATGATTTATAGTACAGATTTTAAAAACAGAATGGTAAGAAATGGAAATCCCGGGGACAAAGAAATGTCTTCTATAGAAACATCACAGTTGGGAAGGACAGAGGCACAACTGATTCCGAGAAATCTCTAACTTAAAACAGTAGCAGCATAACAGCACTGAGCCGCCATCCCACGGGTCACTTTTGTGTCTCGAGGCAAACAGGCAGAAACCTGTGGTAGCCATGTGCCCCTCACAGCCCAGCTGGTCTTGCTACATTCTGCGGCATGACCTGGAGCAGCCACCCACAGGGAAAGGAGCTATGCCAGCAAGCTGAGCTAATGGAAGGTGATGTCAGCAGGTGTTTCCCGGGAGCTGGGTCCACGACATCTCTGCTGCCTCCAAATAGGACAAGGGTCTGCTTTCAGCCACAGGGACACGGTACAGCCTGACTGTGCCGCGGAGAGAACACAAGGTAAATCTTTTCTAAACAAAGAGTGCGAAATTTGTCTTAAAAATCTGCCATCTCTAAAGCCTCCTCTGTTTTACGGATTTTAGGGACTTGGCCTTAAATTGCTGATACCAGGCTCTATCAATGAGTAAATATCATACAAAAAGACAAAGAGGGTGATGGGGTCATAAAGAATAAAACAACCAGAAAAGAAAACACTGTTGAAATGAAGACAAGGAAATGCTAAAAAAGAAAAAAGAAAAAAAAGAAAGAAAGGAAGAAAGAAAGAAAGAAAAGAAAAAAAAAAAAGGACCGAGAAATTGTGTGCTAGCACTAATTAATGGAAGCGGCTGGCCAGAGTGTTCGAACATGCATTGGGCAGGCAGCGAGACAAGCGGTGACCAAAGGAGGGATTCCACAGGGAAACAAAGCCACGATACTCCAATACGACCTCGAAAGAGAGGGTGTGAAACTTAAACGCGTGTACCAGAGCAGAGAAAGGAAAGACCTGCGACCCTGGCAGGAGCCCCCACAGAGCTCCATTAAGGTAGAGCAAGCACTCACAACTCAAAGGACCGTACTCAGCTCCTAGCAAAACTGCACCCGACCCAGTATTACATCTGAAATTGCATGGTGGTCGTTTGTTCCCGTCAGATGTGACAGAAGAGACGGTGTGTTGAGCCGTGAGGCAGGGCTCAAACCTTAGGTTCTTTCAACCACACACCAAAACCAGGACAAACAGCAATAAAGAAAGAACAACCACAAAGCCTTGATCTGCTTGGAAACCAATCGGTATACTTCTAAATAACCTGAGTGTCGGGGAGACAGTGGCCCGGGAAAATGAGCACACTGGGACCACAGGATTAGAACCGAGGAGTGTTAAAGATGGGGGGGGGGTCTGCAGTCTTAGAGAAGAAGCCTAAATCAGCAACCTATGCATTATCTTAAAAAGCTAGTAGAAGACCAAATTAAAGTTTGAAAATATAAAGAAATAAAAAGTATAAATCAATGAAGGAGAAAACAAACATACCACAGAGAAAAGTAATAAAGTCTTGGTTCTTTGAAAAGGTGAAGGAAGCTGGTAAATTTCAGGACTGCAACCTCCCTCCCCCAAAAAGATTAATACAAAAATTCTTACACTGATATGGATACATATGTTTACATGTACATTTATGAATCCCTCTAAATAACTCTGATGAAAACATATTTTCCATGGCCTTCTGGGCCCCAGTGGAGACCAGGGAGGTCATATCAACATGGTATGATTGTTGGCATTCCCATGCTACACTGCCATTTTAGGGAAGATCTCATATTCTAGTAACAAGAACAGCCAACAATTTATTAAACAGCCGCCACCTCCCACCCCTCACTGGCAGCTGAAACCTTCGCTATCATGTTAGATCCTCCACTCTCTCAGGAAGGAGCTCTGAGAACAGGGAGGGATCCACTGTGCTCTGCTGTGTGATGACATGTCAGACACTCCAGCAGCAACTGGGTCATGCCCACGGTTAAGAAATGTAATCTGGTTGGGCAGGTGGTGGCGCATGCCTTTAACCCCAGCACTTGGGAGGCAGAGGCAGGCAGATCTCAGTGAGTTCAAAGTCAGCCTGGTCTATAGAGTGAGTTCCAGGACAGCCAGAGATACACACAGAGAAATCCTGCCTTGCTACATCCACGGCTGTCACGCCAGTATAGCAGAAATGCTGACTGGGCAGGCAAATATTGCCGGAAGGATTGGGATTCGTGCTTCTCGGAGCTGTGTGTTCCAGGCAGTTCCTTGGCAATCAGTTGTGGTGTAATGCTACCTGAGTCGCCATTAGTACTGACTCGACCTGGCTGTCCTTGGAGCCATAATGTGTGTCTTTTCCCTTGTCTGTGTGTTCTTTGTGATCCTTACATATTGCTAACAGATCAGACTATTCCAGGCAGTTGTGGATATAAACAAGACTGCTGAGGACATTTTTGAATTCTGCTCCACTATTAATTAAAGCCTTAAAAAAGTAGCCAGTTCTGGAAATAGCCAAAATCATCATTAGGACAATTCCTTGATGATGTGGAATAAAAGGAGTTAATCTTAGCAGAAAAAACCTTAGAAGCCTTCTACAGGAAAACAGCATTAGGCATTTAGGTACAACTTAACAGGAGGCCTATGCAACCTTCCTTATGGCCAGAAAACCTAGGCTAATTACAACATCTGACCCTGAGAGTCGGGAAGGAAAAGGAGTTGAGATTAATGGTACAAAATGAGTCTCAGACAAGTTTAAAATCATGTCTTTAAAGCTTCCTAGCAGAAAGTTTTCCAGAAAGATAGTAGCCTTCTTCTTTCTCACCCAGACACACAAGGTCACTTAGCTGAGCCCAGCCAGCCACCTGGTACAAGCTGATAAAGGTGGGCTAACTCAAGAACAATGGTCTCTCTAATAACAAGAAAAAAGAAGAGGTAACTTTACAAATGTAAGGAAGCAAAAGTCCTTGTACTCATGCCAAAGTATCTTTAAAGATTCTCTTTGTAAAACTGTTTTATGCCGTTCTTTTCTATTTTATGATCTGATGATGTATGCCTTTGCCAAGTTCTTTGTTTGCAATAATATATAATCCTGCACTGAAGTAAGTAAATCACAACAGCATGTCTCAAAAACATTGGGAGTGTCTGTGTGTCACTTTCCTCGCCGTATCCTGATTTCTCCTGTGCCTTCGCCCTGATTCCCTTACGGTCTGAGTGGCTCCCCTGAGCCGGTCCGTAGCACTGCCTCAGAAAAAAAGAAATGCAATCTGCTTGTATTTTGAACCTAGCATTAACTAGGTCTTTTGATTGGGTTCTGCTAACTGTCATCGTGTATACGACCCTTGAGTTGCTCAAATGTGCTCACAGCAATGACTACCGGATCCTACGACGCAGAGTCACAGTTCCATTTCATTTGACGTTATAAACGACCACTGACAGAAGCAGCCAACTTAAAGTAATGGGAACTCAACAGAATAGCGCAACGACATTTGAGGTTGTCTTAGTAGGGAAGTACCTTATAAAGCTTGTGATGTACACGTGCACAAACGTCGCCATCAGATACTGACAATCAAACCTGTCCATTATCCCGCCATGTCCAGGAATGGTGTTTGCAAAATCCTGCAGAAACAAACAAGCGTGAAATACACATCACCTACATCAAATTCTGACACATAAATGTCTTTTCAGTATTACAGACTTTATAAGAAAACTTTACTATTAATTTTTTCTAACAAATACAAATAAAATACAACCAACAGATTAAAATGTTATTTTCAACTCTCCACTCACTGTTGAATGATTTCTAAATTGGCCCACAGCACTGAAATAACACTACATATTAATTAAGTCTAGCACTTTTTCTCATTGCTGTAATCTCCCTAAATTATCTCGTTCTGTAACTGCCTGTGATCCTGCACGGTGAGCAGCTGTGTGGGAGCTGCCTCACTGCCACACAGACGCACACGCATCTCTCACTTGTGTTTACCCAACAACCCCTGTGCCGGAGCAAACACTCCAGTGGTGAGCAGCCTTCTGTAAGCACTGAGGTAAAAGAAGGACAAAGCACCTGAGTCTCTGAGAACATGCTCGTCCATCAAACAGGCTGAGGAGAGGCCAGGCGGTGAGGTTTCTGCAGAAGAACTCACTACCAAAACCCCAGAGAACACAAGTGTTCTTGTGAACATCTGGGCACTAACACACAAGATACAACAGCAACTGCACGTTCAGATGTGAAAACAAAAAATCTCCCCCTTTAGTGAGGAATCTTAGAGATCATTAAAAAACACACACACACACACACTGGGCGGTGTTGGCGCACGCCTTTAACCCCAGCACTCAGGAGGCAGAGGCAGGTGGATCTCTGTGAGTTGGGAGGCCAGCCTGGTCTACAGAGGAGTTCTAGGACAGTCAGAGCTACACAGAGAAACTCTGTCTCAAAAAACAAAACAAAAACCACAATCTAAATACCCGTGACTAATTTTTCCCAACCTATTTCCTCCCTTCTCTGCTCACCAAGGCTTGAGGGAGCCCCAGCAACCATATCCCACTGCAAGGCACTCACCCCAAGCAGCAGACAGGACTGCTTCCCACCCTCCCACATGGGGAGGGAGCATCCTGAGGCCAGGTACCCTGTAGGCTTTCTATATTACCTTGCCCCGACCACAGCACCCGAGTTCATTTACTTCCCTGGTCATCCTAAAGTCCCAGGTGGTTTCCAAACACTGTTCTCTAACAGAGCCGCTGGGTCCTGGCTCCCTTTAGCGAGTAACTCCTTGTACTCACTCACTTCAGCGCTCTTCCTCAGACATCTCAGTAAGATTTACCCTCGTCCTCTCTTCAGATCTCCGCTCCAATCTCACCTCCTCGGAGCACCATTCCCTGACCAGCACATCTTCACCAGCCATTCTCACCCTTAATGAGCCAATTTACTTTACCTGGTAAGGGAGGATGGCCCTGCTGTACTAACACGTGGGGATGACTTTAAGTAAGGACCACAATCAGCTAACTAGCTCTCACAGTTCAAATCCCAACCCACAAGCAGGTCTTACAAACAAAGTTTTAAGACTTTCGCGGACATGTCTGGTACAAGCTTCATACTGTAGCAGCAGCAGCGTTCAGAGCTGAACCGCAGAGAATTTGCAAGAATGTTCTTTCCAGCCTGGCCTGACAAAGTCTGACAACCCCGACCTAACAGGATGGACAGTTCCGGATCCAAATGCTCCTTGGAAGAACCCTTCGAGTGGGACTGGGAAAGGCTAAGCGGCAGATGGCAGACTACTCCATTCCTGAGGGGACATTCCATCTCCAGAAGAGTCTAAGACACTTCAAAAGGAATAAATATGCCATCACCAAAAAACTCCAACCAGCCAGGCAGCATGGCTGTGAGGCTACACGGTTGTCAGGGATGGTATGATTCCCAGGGGCTCAGTGTGGCCAGTGTGGGCCACATCCCGAGGACAGAGAGCTCCTATTATGTGCACAGAGACTGCAGCAGAGAATGTAAAAACGCACCTTGATCTTAAAAGCTCTTTTGAATCCACTGGCGAAGAAGCCTCCAAATGGGCCAATCAGCGATGCGAACGTTGACAACGCAATGCTATGGATCTGGAAGGGATACATGCTCACCGTGTCCTGAGGAGGGGGAAGGAGAGGACCAGCTGCGTTAACATTGTGTTTACTCATGCCACCTAAGCCAGGAACATGGCAGACACAGGAGGCTGAGACAGACCACATTTCTGTCATCGTCTCAAGCGTTAAAGACCATGACTGAAAACATGGCACCATCAGCAGTCTCCACGCCCCATGCCGACTCCCCATCCTGTACCCACAGCCTCACCGCCACACCCACCACAGTCTCCACACACCGTGTGCCAACTCCCTGCCCGGCACCCACAGCCTCACCGCCACACCCATCACAGTCTCCACGCCCCATGCCGACGCCCTGCCCAGCACCCACAGCCTCACTGGCACACCAGGTGGAATTCCAGCTCAGCCAGGGCTTAGGAAACAGTTGTGTGGGAAATGTGGGAGAGTCACACTTTGGTTCACTCTACGCTTGCTCTCTAGACCACAGTACTTTGTTCTTATAATCACAGGATTTATTTTAATTTTATATTTTATAATAGTATCTAATTTTAAACGATGAAACAGCAAAAAGTTGTCTTTGTCACCAAAACTACGTCGAAAGCTATGGAAACATACAGAAATAAATACTTTTTTCTTTCTTCCTTTCTTTTTTTGGATTGCTTTTTCAAGACAAGGTTTCTCTATGGAACCTTGGCAGTCCTAGAACTTTCTCTGTAGACCAGGCTGACTTCGAGAGCTGAGATTAAAGGTGTGCACCATCACTGCCTGGCTCAGAGATGAGTTTCTTAATATACTGTCAAGGGGTGGTGGTATGCCCCTGTTATTCTATACTCTGTACGCTGACACAGGAGTACCTTGAGTCAAAGGCTAGCCTGGGCTATGTGATAAGACCCTGCCTCAAACAAAACAAGGCCTGTCAAAATGGGCATAAACAAAATTATTTCAAAAGATGTAGAGAAATCATCTGAAGAGAATTTTACTTTATATAAATTATCTGAGGGTATAGCTCTCTTTCCCCCTGAATTAACTATGAACTAATTATATAAATTATCTGAGGGTATAGCGCTCGTTCCCCCTGAATTAACTATGAATTAAAAGCGGCACGTGACAGGTATGGTCCAGGAAAGACGTTCAGGCCACAGAGTTTGGAGCTGTTCTCAAAGAACAACATGGCTCCAAACTTAAAGACTGGTAGGAGCCTATGCTTTATAGGATGTAACAGGAAGCGTGGATGGTTAAGAAATGTTTAAAACCAAATAATGAGCACTCAGAGAGATAAGTTATTTGCAGGTTAATTTGTTTCCAAAACCTTGAAGCTGTGAGTTTGGAGTACAATGTACACACACATACATGTGCAGTTACTGTATGTCCTTGCTTGCTTTCTGCTACTATAAAGGCAGGGCTATTTGACTTACAGGTTACAGTCACCTGTAGCAAGCCAAGGCGGGAACCTAGAAGGAGCCCTGCTTGCTGGCTTGCTTCTCCTGGCTGGCTCAGCTACTTTCCTTACACAGCTCAGGCCCACTTGCCCAGGGACAGCACCACCCACAGTGGGCTGGGCCCTCCTCCATCAATCAGCTTATGAAAACGCCCCACAGACAAGCCCACGGGACAATCTGATGGAGTCAATCCTTCAGTCGAGGCTCCTTCTTTCCACGTAAAAGCTAACCAGCCTACTTTTTTCCCACTCTAATGATGTAACAGAGTCTACTGTAGAACATTCCAAACAATCTGAGGGATGGCATCTCAGGTGCTTTAAATGGTGGCAATGGAAGGCTCATTTCTAGATTTCTATATTAATAATGACCCCGAAAAATCAAGGAGTCTTTCAATTGATGAGTCTCAAGCTTTATACTTACTCAAATCAGTAACATTCATTTATTTGTAAAAATCTATTTATTTTTAAATTTTATTTATATTTTAAAATAATTTTTAAAAATACAAACTGCTATCAGTATTTAAATCATTATACAAATAAATTCCTAGTGTACACACATATGCTTGGAAATGTTATAGTCATTTGATGGTTAAGATGATGGTGTGTGAGAATTGTCTGTATTCTGTCAATCATATTTTAATAAAACGCTGATTGGCCAGGCAGGCAGTATAGGCGGGAAAGCCAGACAGGAAGTAGAGGTGGAGCAAAGAGACTGGGCGTATTCTAGGAAGCTCCCTCAGTCACTCCTGTGCAGACCACCAGAGAAGCAACATGTAACCTGCCCAGCTGAAAAAGGTATCAAGCCATATGACTAACATAGATAATGATAATGGATTAATATAAGTTACAAGGACTAACAAGAAACCTGAGCTAATGGGCCAATCAGCTTTATAATCTTATGGAGTCCTGTGTGTGATTTTCCTTGGGAGTTGCTGGTTGTGGGGTACCAGGCGGGACGAAACCCCAACAAGCCGGCCTCCTCATGTTACAAGATGACAAACATACAACCCACTTCTACATATTTGGGGAAAAAAAAAGAACCAGAGCATCCCTTTTTATTGTGGCTTGGATGGGAATGGTGGATCCCCAGACACACCGGTTAGCCATTTGCTCTTACCCGTCTCAACACTGCCCTTAGGAACGGAGGGAGGGAGTAACTCTGGAGCCGGAACAGTTCTGAGGGCTCGCATTCTGTCACGAAAGAGTTGACATCGCTTCGGTATTCCACTGGGCACACAAAGTACTGGTGTTTGGACAGCACATAGGCAGCCTGAAGACCAAAGCAAGAATTTGTGAGATACTGCCCAGGCAAGAGGAAGCCAAGTGCCACAGCGGACAGAACCAGACGCCAAGTGTCCGTGCACCAGCATTTGGCTACGTGTCCAGAGTTAGGTTGGGATGGTCCCAGGAGAAACTGAAAAACCTTCAGAGAACAAAAGAATTTTCAAAAGCAGAGAGATCTCCATACAACCTCAGAAGGGGTGGGGCCAATGTGGTCTTAAAAGAGCCTTATAGGAGATCTGAGTTTTCAATGTTCTAAGGACGCATGCATTGTGTGTGTCCCCATGCCAGGGGACTGTGTAGTGAACTCTGGGGTTCAAACTCGGTTCCCAGGATTTGCACAGAAAGGGCCTTTACTCACAGAGCCATCCCTCCAGCCCAAGACCTTACTTTTTAAAAGTCTGCATAGTTCTCTCGGCGAGGCCTAAGATGGCGTGGTAAGGGGCAGACTCTGAAGATACGGGCTGTGCAGGGGGGGGGGGCTACTGCACATAGACTGTGTCAACTTCACACTAAACAAACACTGCACAACAGCAGTGTGGGAGAAAGGCACTGCCCCCTGCCAGCCCACAATGTCATCGGTGCAGTCTTTAAAATTAACCCTCCTCAACCATGGCAAAAGGAGAGAAGATAAAACATCTTCTTGTTCATCTGATTCCATCTCTCCCCCAGCCACTCACGCCAACGTTTTGCTCAAAAACAGCAAAAATTCAAATATGCTGCCAGGAATAGATTCCAACTGCCTGTGCATAGGAATGACAAGCATTGCTATCACTGTGAGGATCTTGTTTAGATGACCACGGTTAAGATTTCATAGGTGCAGCTCCCTGGCAAATATGGAAGACACTATCTTGTAGGAGATACCTTACTTCTCTGGCCCTAACAACCTTTCCTCCCCATCCTTGGAGATGTTCCCTGAGTCTTAGGTGTAGGAATGTATTGGTGGAGATGGTCGGTCTGTCTCATGTCTACAGGTAAGTGTGGCTCTCACTTTTCATTAAACAAAGTTATTTTTGTGGCAGATAGAGATCATCACAGAATCAATACTAATCAAAAGGCAGAGAATGACTATGGGGGCCTATTTAGTAAGTTTTAATAAACATATTACTAGCGTTTTGTGGTTTTGTAGGTTTAGAAAAGGCTAAATCCTAGCATGCGTTTTCAGAGTATAAATAAAAGTAAAACCCCAGTAGAACTCACAATGAATCCAAATATGACGGTGGAGAAGAAACCGCCAATGAACCCTTCCCAGGTCTTCTTAGGAGACAGCTAAAGAGACCGGAGAAGATGGAGGGTTAGTACACATTCTCCCCATACCCCTCTGCTCTCATTTGAATGGGCTGAAAATGCAGCTCTTCCCTGCACGGTCATGATTGACCTGAGCGAGCATCTTGAGAAGCACCTAATGCGGGGCAGCCCCTCAAACGTGTGGTGTTGTGATATCTACTCATCTCTGCTAAGTAGCCTCGACTTCTTTCTTTCAAAGGTCTATAAGTTCAGTAACGAAATAATTTTCTTACGACTTGCATGCTTCTCTTAGAGTGAGATTATTAGTCATCCCATGCAAACATCATCAGTGCTAACCCACCCCTGATCAAAGAACAGGAGGACCACAAGGCACAGCTGCGCAGCAGTCCAGGTGCTCTTGTTTGTCAGGTGGGCTGGGCAGACAGGGTCCCACTACGTCGCCCATTGGGTCTAGAATTCACAACCCTCATGCCTCAGCCTCTCAACTGATAAGGTTATAAATTTGTACTAGCATGCTCAGCTCAGTCCTAATATGTAAGACACATGAGATTTCCTTCTGAAATGAAATATTCAACAGCCTCAAACATCCACCCCCATAATCAACGTCTACCTTTAGGTAGAAAGTAACAGACTGTGCTCTGAGAATAGACACTGTCTGTTTCAGTCTGGCTCCTATTTCCCAGTCAATGAGACATTCAGGGAGGGAAATCTGGAGGGAAGTCTGGAATTCAGTGGGGTAAGGGATAGGAGAGAAAACTCAGGAGCTGTGGTCCTAACCGCCCTACGCTGCCACGGAAGGTAAGAATTCAGACGTGTATGACTCAGGGGGTTAGGAATGGGTCACAGCCCCAGCTACCTGAGCTCCTCGTAGACTACTTAACTTGAAGTTGAGAACCTTATTGCTAAACTAGCTGGCAGCAATGGTTTCTTAACAAATCTGGTGACACTTTTGCCACAGAGAAGGAAGCAATGCACCCACTCCTGGGGACAATCCCGTGTCTGTACTGGTGCCGCCATCGAGTAGGCTCAAAGCGTCTGCTGATTACTTAAGAAAACTTCGAGCTGACTCACACCAGATCACAAGTGAATTGCCCAACTTCCTGGGCATATCATACAAATAATCTCCTTTGCTCAAATCACCCGAAAGGCATTCAAAACCAGTCCCTGGGATCCCTGCAGGGTCTCAGTCTCCCGCGGCATGTTAGTTTAGAGCTCAGCCCACGCGAGCATGGAGAGCATGCTGACTCGTTTCGCGCAGCAGCTTTAGACACAGCTCAGAGATGCATACCTTGCATGTCAGCAGCCCTGCAGCTGGGCCTGGTGCTGTGCGGCCGCCCACGAGAGGAGAGCTGAGGGAGGTACTCTGAGGGGCAGGCTACCTCCACGCTCCCCAGGAGCAGCACACTTCAGCACATGGCTCTCAACAGCGCAAGGCTAATTCAGACTCCAGCCGCTCCTCCCTAACAGCTTCCCTCTCAGCCAAGGAATGTATGTGTAAGATCCTATTAAACACTTGGCTCAGTATGGAAACTGAATCCTACATGAAGCCCCAACATAAAAAGCTCTCTTAAAAATGAAACAAGTCCTAGGAAAAGGTTGGATTTTTCATTAAGAACTGGTTTTTCTTGCCCAAAATGAAATCTGAATAATTTAATTCTTACCCTTGCCTCCACTGTCCATAAACAGAACCAAATCTAAGGCAAAATGGCAGGCTGTTCACGTGTGCTTTCCTCCTTGTCTTAACCTCTTACCACTGGCTTTAGATCCTCCAGTCTTTTACGTAGATGAACTTGGGAATCTTTGGACGACAGTACATAAAGACTGTGCGCCTTGCTCTTTTAGGAAGTTTAGTAACAGACAGCATAGCTAGCCATGGGGATGCTGGGAGTGGGTTAAGGAACTGAGCAATGAAGAGGAACCTTCACAAGCAGAGGAAGATAGAGTCAGGGCCCAAGGAGGACCCAGCTGAACACTTGACAGCAGAGGGAACTCCCGCCCTCCATGGTGGCAAGCTGCTGCATTTGGGAAGAGCGCAAGAGCAGCAATGGTTGAAACGCTCTGTGGCCTGTAAATCTGTGGGAAGGGCTTCTGTCTAACATCTTCCATTACCTTAATTAAGGGAGTTCTTCCAAAAAAGAATCCGAAAAGGTAAGCAGTGATGTCGTTGCAGATGACGCTTGATATTGGAACAAGGAACCTTGAGAAGATGAGCAGAGAAAAGTCTGTGTGGTTAGACAGTGAACGCTTATCCCCTTACAGCTCAGAGTGACCCACGTTACACCCGGTAGCTCACACAGTGGACAGAGCAGAGCAGAGCACAGGGCAAGGCCTAGGAGAAGCAGAAAATACCACACACGCTCGCTCCTTTAGCCAGGAGACGGAACAAAATCTATCTCTAAACTTAGAGAATGCTGCTAAGGAAACTATTAAATAACTAATCGCTACAGTTACAAACACTTACATTTTAATTTTATAAGGAATAACTTCCAAAGAACTATCACCTCTTAAGAAGAGCAGCCTTGTGAAATGCAAAACAAGTCACTTGTGCAAGCAGAGACTAAAGTGACAAGCTCATGCCAAGCTCTTAATACAAATTCTCCTTCGGGAAAAGTATTAATCTTAATTCTATTTTAGCCTATGTCACACGCTGATAACTTTGCAGAACCTATTTAAATAATCAACATTTCTCCCTCAATTGAAAAGCTTTATATGACATCCATCCCTAACTAGAGTGTTTATACAAACACATGGACATTTTGGTAAGCTGTCAGGAGGATCAATTTATCCTGGCAAACTCCAGTTAGCTATGAAAGATTCTAGTTGGTGACTTTACGATGGATGTGGAGGGGAAGACTCATGTTCACCATCTAGATGAATGCACAGAGAACTTTATTAAGCCTTTCTCCATTCCCTTTCGTTTCTAATTATGAATCTGGATTACTTTTAATTAATAAAAATGCTGGCTGAATCTGCAAACCCCAGTGCTGTGGAGCACCCAGCTCTGCACACACACACGGTCTAGAAGCTTGCTCCTTCCCAGAAGCGAAGCAGGACCTGCCCAAGTGTCACCTGGAGAAAAGGCACTTCTCCAACCTGCTAACTGAAAGCCAGCTCCCACATACTTTCTGCACTCCATGTAAATAACATCTAACCTTTGTTTTTAAAATACAACACTGCAGTTTGTTAGCATCTGAAAATGGAACTGGGTTTTGAGGAAGACTTTCTGCATTTTGCTTGGAACTAGAAGCATGGGTCTTCAGTCACTGGGCAGGCGCTCTACGCTGGGTAGTCAGCGAGATATTGAGTGGTCTCCAAGCAGTAGTGGAAACCGGAAAGCTACTGCCTGGCATTAGGGGGTTTAGAGGGCAACACATGAAAACAGAATGTAGCATAACACAACATAATCCCTTACCATATCATGCCTTCAAACAGATTTTGGATGACAAGATGTGACTGAGTAACGGTTATCAGTAAAGTGACATGGGTCCATGCGAACTGTCAACAGCCCAACAACACAGAAGTTAGCAAACACGGCTCATCAAACAGCCAATTAGCAAGAGCGATTTTGAAACACAAGTTTTCTGCCATGACTTCTGATCAAACTTTGTAAGATAGGATCATACAAACAAAACAGTGTGGTTAGTAAATTACACACTTCACATTGTCTACTAAAACCTGAAATAACAAACACATTTAGCAAAATTACTCTAATTTATAGATAAAGGGAATGCTAATACCAGTGAGACATACTATTAAGTTTTAAAAACACAGAGAAATAAGGCGCCATCTTGGAGCACCCCAATGACAGCATGGCTGTGGCGTGTGGAAGCAGTGCTAGTCTCTGAGAGCGCCATAGTCAGCATGCTGAAGCTGCAGTTTCTCCTGAGTTTCCTGACAACCTTCCCCTGCAAAGAGTTATTCTAACTTTGAATGCTTGAAACCCTCAGGATTCAACTGCCTTTACGTTCCATCTTTTCATGCTGAAAGAAGATCTTTCTAAGTCTGCTCAATGACATTATGCAATTTCAGAACTTCAAAGCCCTGTGCTGTTTCCCTCATCATCCTCCCTTAGCCCTCAGCCTGAGGGTGGGGTGTTTTAGTGACGTACAGCACAATCACTATGAGCAGAACATGATCTGTGTACTCATCAGATAAACTGGATTGGCAATTATGAAGTGATTTTTAAATAATTCAGATTTTTATTTACTCAAACATTATTTACATTTTAACACAATATTTTATGTTGACTGTTTTCTTCTAGTCTACTGGTACACACTTAAAGGAACCAAGCACTTTACACTAGTTACACTAAAATACATCCTTTTTCCCAATAGGCAACTGGCCCTATTATATTGCACAGCTGGCCCTCTACATACAGTTAATCCTATACCCACAAATTCAGGAACCACAGGTACATGGATCAACATGCACACTTATTTTGTTCTTGTCACTATTCCCTAAGCAATAACTATTTACATAGGATTTGATTATGTTAAGTCTTATAATTAACAAGAATGATCTGAAGTGCAAAGGAGGAGCCAGTGGACCACTGAGAAACAGAAGGCGCTCAAGCATGCGGAGTGTTATTCACAGGGCTAGAACCGTGTTCCTGACAGGAGGTTTGACTGTTTCCAATCAGTCTTGAAGCTCTTAGATCTCATTAAGATTTTATTCTAGGGTCACCTGAAATTATAAACGTAGGAAACACTACAGATTTCTTAGCAATAATAATTTGTAGAATGTCTTCTTAAAGAAACGCTCAAGTATGAGCCGACCTGAGAAACGCCTTGCTGATCCCCAAGTTTGCACCTCTCAGAACTGCATTGTACTTTAGACTTATAATTAGCTCCGCTTTAGGGAAACGAGAAGCTCATTGTGTAAAGGAATGGATCTCCACCAAACAAACTACCTGAGGGCAACAATGACTATGGCTGACCATAGTCATCCTTATGGTGACCATAACCACCAGTAAACCACATATTCTGCACTATGCTGAAGCCAACAGCCGGTGTCCAAGGACACCAACAAGTGACACATACTTGCTAGGCTTCATCAACTATACCAGAGATGAATGATTTCCCACAGTTAGGGAATTAAAACGTATCATTTACATTATTTCCTTTGAAAATACCTAAAAAAAATGTTTCAGGAACACTTTAGGGATGGTTGTATATTTTAAATCTCAAAATCTTTTCAACTTCAATATTTTGTATCTAATGAACACACCAAAAAAAAAAAAAAAAACCCCGATAAATTCTTTGGGCTCAGGTAAGACATTAACTAGCTAATTTGACTATTATCTCTTCAAGTACAGGAAAAAGGTGAACGCAGCTATGGAAGACTGTTGATACACACCATGTAAAACTGCAGGCGGTAGTGTTTCTTCACCAAGCTCAGCACGAACATGCAGAAACCTGTTCAAAAACAGAAGACAAGCTGTCGGGTTCTGCACAGAGGACAAGATCCCTGAACACCCCACACCCAAAACCAGTCTCCTGCACTTCATCCGACTACTTCTCCTGCTTTACAGAGAGCAGCCTAAGCAGTCTCCTGAGGGAACAATTGTGAAATCTCCAAAGTGCCAGTTCAATCACTGTCTCCTACATTAATTAAATGAATTAGTCCCTTGCTAATATGGAAGCTGGAAAACATCTCAAATTATCAATTTATCAAGAGCAGGCTGACAGGTTAGTGGTTGAGAGTCTGCCTAGCATGTGGGGGGAAGGGGGTTCCAATGCTTAATCTTCAGCATAGGAAATTCCGCTACATAAAATGTCCATTGATTGAGAGTATTACAGAATGTGTTCAATGTCTATGAAAATTAGTAACTATGGCAGCTAATGCCCATTAAGCATGTTATGTTCCTAACTCCATCTAAGCTTTACGTGTATTAATCCAGTCCTTCCGATACCCTTGACATAGCTGTCCTTCACCATCACCACTTCACTGTAGGCAGAGACTATGCTTGCTTTTCTGGCTGCCCAGACCCAAATAATCACATAGAAACTGTATTAATCACAACACTGTTTGGCCAATGACTGTAGCATATTCCTAGCTAGCTCTTACATCTTAAATTAACCTATTTCTATCAATCTGTGTATCACTAAGAGGCTGTGGCCTACAGGTAAAGTTCCATGCCCTTCTCCTTCGGCAGCTCTCTGACTCTGCCTACTCTCTCTCTAAATCTGTTCAGATTTCTCGCCTGGCTTTGCTAAGTCATTGGCTAAAACAGCTTTATTTGTCAACCAATTACAGCAACACATATGCAGAAGGACATCCCACATCACTTCACAAATGAAGAAAAAGTTTCATTTCTTCACTGAGAATCACAGAAATAAAAGAAATGTTTAAATACTCCTGGCCCTTAAGTCACGCAGTTCTGTGGAAACACAGGGGTCAGGAATAACTTGTAGTGACAAAGACGGACTTGAAGTTTCTCAGATCAGCAGTAGAATTACAGCGAAACATATGCTTTTAAGTCATTTCTCACTTCCCAGTGTCTGACTGCATCACATACATTCACTGCGATGAAGACGTGCTACAGTACCCAACTCAGGGAAGCTCCCCATTCATATACTAACATGATTTGGCTTCAGCTGCCAAGCGTGTGAAAGTCTGGTTTTAGACAGACTGCCTTACGTTTTCCTTCTGTGATGACGAGATTTTGTTTTCTTCATTGAGAATTTCATGTGTGGATGCAGTAGGTATCCTTTCCCCTCTCTGACTCCTCATATCTATGGAAGCCCACATGCAGAAGCCTGGCACTGGAGCCATTTCTACCACACTGCACAGAATCAGTCCCAAATGCACCAAAGACCTCACTCGAAACTACTAGAAGGAGACACAGGCGGCACCTTGGATCGCTGCAGCGAGTGCTCTCTGAAAACAACTTCGTTGGCCTGGGTAGTAAGGCCATGCATTGACAAATGGGACCTCACAGAACTAAAAATCCCAGACAGCATAGGAAAGAACCAGTCAAGGGAAGAGGAAGCCCCAGAGCAGAGAATCTGTGACAGCTCTTTACCTAATGAGGGATTAATACCCAAAATACATAAAAACTCACAAAATAGTCACGAAAAATAAATGACCCAATTAAAAACAGCCAAGGATCTGAATAGATTTCTCAAAAGAAATAAAAACAGCTAATATCTCAAATGTGCTCAAGATCCTTAGAGCAATTAGGAAAATGTAAATTAAAACACTGAGGTTTCATCTTACCTCAACAGAATGGCTAAGATCAAGAAAACAGAACTGGGGGGATGGTGGTGGCCACACCTTTAGTCCCAGCCCTTGGGAGGCAGAGTTCAAGGTCAGCCTGGTCTATGGAGTTCCAGGACAGTCAGGGCTGTTCCTGGGCTGTAGAGAAACCCTGTCTTGAAAAACTGAAACAAAAAGGAAGAAAGGGAGGGAGGGAGGGAGGGAGGGAGGGAGGAAGGGAGGGAGGGAGGGAGCGAGCGAGGGAGGGAGCGAGCGAGGGAGGGAGCGAGCGAGGGAACGAAGAACAGACAGCTGACAACAAGAGTTGGTGAGGGTGTAGGAAAGGAGAACTGTTTACTGGTAGAGCTGCAAACTGGTGTAGCTGCTGTGGAAATCAATGTGGAAAATTCTCAAAAGGCTAAAATCATATCTACCCTACAACCTGGCTATACCTCTCCCTGGCATACACCCAGGAAGACAGATGCCAGACATTCTCCCATCTAGAGATCCTAGCTCCAATCTTCAGATGTGAGTAGATCATCTGAAGTAGGCACAGAAACCAGGGAAGTAAACAGGGAGGGAGCTCTAGAGAGGGGACCAGGGAGACACAGGTGCCAAGGAGGGGGAGATTCACCTGGGGAGGGATAAGGGACACAGCTACTCAAGAACTAAATGCATCAAGACCACACACTTCTCTGCCTTCAGGAGAAGAGGTGCAAAGTATAGTGATCTGAGTAAAAGTGGTCCCTATAGCCTCATGTATTTGAACACTTAGTCGCCAGAGAATGGAACTGTTTGAAAGGATTAGAAGGATTGGGAAGTGCAGCCTTGTTGGAAGGAGTGTGTCAAAGAGGATGGGCTTGGAGTATTCAGTACCACCCTCTCCTTCTCCGCCTGTGAACCATGATCTAGTTCTCAGTTGTTGCCCCAGGGACACGCATGTCACCATGCTCCCCACATGACGATAATGCACGAGGCCTCTGAAACTGTCAGCATGGCCCCAATTAAATGCTCTCTTTTGTAAGTGTAGCCTGGGTCACGGTGTCTCCTCACAGCAATAGAACAGCGACTAAGACATCAAGTTTATCTAAAGCTAAATATTTTTAAAGAAAAGCGTCCTTTTAAAAAATAGATATGAAAATCATTATCATTCACAACTACATGGCTATGTGAATATTTTATGCTTAAAACATAAAAAGTGTACATATCCTAATAACTCCAGAGTTAAGATAATTTTTACAATTGGATCCACAGTCATATCTTTTCTTGACTAAAGAATATTTATACAGTTATGTTTTCAATTAAAATCACAGGCTTTATTAGATGATTACAGACACCAGCAGTCACTAAAAAGGTCGGTTAGTTTTTACTAACTTGTCACCTGCAAAAAGGGGCACTCAACTGAGGAACTGCCTCCATCAGACTAGCTTGTAGACATGGCTGTGGGGCATTTTCTTGACTAAGCAGTGAACACAGCAACAGAAAGCACACTAGCACAGGTGCCTAACCCACTCAGCTGTGATGTAACAGCTCTCAATGTAGTTATGTGGAGCTGGACTGGCTGAGCTGGAGGTGCTGATGCAGATATGAGCACCCTGCATCCCATCCCAAGCACTCCCCGGGTAGCAGCAAGAGCCGGGTTCCGACAGACAAAGCCAAGTCTCTATAGCCAAGAATAGCAGCAGATGAGATGGTCGAGCAGGTCGTGAAAAATGAAGGAAAAACTGAGATACTGGAAAAGCCCACAAGACACAATACAGCAGATTTCAGAAAATGAGTTAACAATTTAAAAACGTATCAAGCATTTATGACATTCCAGGTACAAGATTTTAAAAAAAGTGAGAATCACGAGCATTACAGAACTCACTGTCCAGCTGAAGAGATGGAAAATGGAAAAATAAGTATTTTTAAATTTTAATATTTGTGATTAAGGACCCAGTACACATGTGGTGTCATCAACTCTGAACCAGCCATGAGGAGGAGCCTGGGTTTGAACACAGAGCTTACCAGCTTCCTCCTCATTCTTTACTTGGTTGCACTACTTGCCAAACCCCAACTTCTGGCATCATCTTAGGTAATTTCAGAGGCACACTGCACTGTGTGGTGGAGTCACACCCTAGACTATGGCTGAGTTGTACACACAAAGGTTAAAGGAATAGGTAGTTCAGACCGATACACAGAGTCACACCCTAGACTATGGCTGAGTTGTGCACACACAGGTTAAAGGAACAGGTAGTTCAGACACCGATACACAGAGTCATGGCAGCTGAATGTGAAGAGAAAAGCTGCCAAAGGAGACTGATCAATTACCTAAGGCTTTAAAAAAAAAAACACATGTAACATGTAAGCAAAACAATCCTTTGCTAAGATACTACACACATGACTGTAGCTGCTGATGTCCTTTGGGGTCAAGCACCCCAAATGTATCAACCCACCATCACAGAACTTGCAGCCATATGCTTGCTCTCATTCCTAAACAGCCCCAACCCAAGTAGCCAAGTCTGGGAGACAGTGCTCTTTTTTTATGCAAATCTTGTCTCTGGAGAAACTTGTACTATTTCTAGTCTTGCTGACTTTTTTCTTTGCTTCTTAGTCAAATTCTCTTTGTGACGAGATTATTTAATATCAGGACAACTTCGAGAGCCTCAGTGAGTTACCTTGTATGACAGGAAGCAAGTCATTGATCTTCATGGCCTCTGATAAGGGGGACAGACCCAGAGATATCTACATCTTTTCCAGTAAAATATAATGTCAATGAAACAGCCTAGGCTGTCTTTGCTTTTTACATCAGCTAGGACATATACTCCAAAGTCCTTTGGTCATGGCAATAAACCAGCATTTCCCAGCGCCCTTTCACACTGTCGTGTGAACGTACAGATAAATAAGCAGCACGGTTCCTATTTCCTGACACCATCTCAAAGTCTAGCTCCAGTCAGACTCATAGCACTGCTGACGACTTAAAGACTCATCAGCACCACAAGCAAAGCAGTGAGGCTGAGGTGACCGCACTCAAAAGCATCCCGTGGATCTACATGTTCTCAGCCGTCTCATCATTCAGCAAACACAAAGGGAAACTCACTGCTGGGCTCAACAGAGGGCTCTAAGGATTGACCAAATGAGAACCACACACATTGAAAGCCACGGAGTTGGACCTAATAGCTCCCTGCTCACTCCAAGCTGCTGCTGCTGCTGCTGCTGCTACTGCTGCTGCTGCTGTGTGTGTGTGTGTGTGTGTGTGTGTGTGTGTGTGTGTGTGTATGTGTGTGTTTTGCAGGACTATGACAATTGTCTATCTCCTAGGATGACGCGAGAGCTTTCAGATAGTTATGTGGGTAGAAACTGGACAAAATGCAAAAGGCAAATGTTAATTCTTACAACTAGACGTGAATATATAAAGATCTCAATTTGAAAGTATATTTGAAACCAATAGCCAGGGACCCAGAGCAATTTTTCATAGACTGTCATAAAATAGTGGCCGGGCTCCAAGGACCAGCTAACTGCTCACTGTTTAGGTGCTGAGTATAAATCTGAGGCACAGGCTCTGCCTCCTCGTTCCTCTCCCTGCTAACTGCTCCCAACCCATTTCTCACTTGGCCACAGACTTTGCTTTTATCTTCTCTTGATGTGGAAACCCCACGTGGCTTCCCCAGGAGAAGTACTAACCCTTTCGGGGACAAAGACAGCTTCTCAAGACACAGGCAGTTACCAACTCCATGGGCTTGGACATGCCATCCTCTCAGCTCTGTTCTGGCTCGGCCAGCTGGTCCCAGGATGAACAGAGGCCCGCCTACCCCTCACCTTTCATGGCACCAGACACCTCTTCCCCAAGCTTTCCGAGGTGCTCCGGCCCTCCTCCCCCGAGCAGGGCCTTCTCTTCCTGCTTCCTTCAATTCTGCTTCTGTCAATCCTGCTCATCATGTTTCCGCGTGAACTGGGGCACCCAGCCTCACGGGCTCTACACAGGTGGGGTCAGCCACTGTCCCCCACGCTGGCAGTGCTGCCACACCGAGGACCTGAATGTTTGTTCAAAGAAGAACCAGTGACTTTCAAACGAGCTTTGTGACCACTGTGCCTATTACCATGTGGTGAAATATGTCGGGCAGAAATCACTGGGAAAAACAACCAATGTTTTTTTGTGAGATTCTAAATCTTTCACGTACAGAAAGTCTAGAAAGGCTAAACAGAAACAACAAGAAAATCAATTCACTGTCTGTCTCTGCTCAACAGACACTATGTGCATCCATGAGCTGCGGACACCAACAGTGGGAAGGACAGAAGGGGCAGCTTCATATACACGGACTTATGCCCGGTCAGACTGTAAGCTGCAATCTGATACAACTACGGATCAGCAGGCACTGGCGTGGATTTAGATGTGTTACTATACAACCACCTGAAGCTACATTAACTGGAAGTGATGGGTTATAGAAGAATCGCATTTCATCTGTCTAAGAAAATAGGTGACGGAAGATAGGAACGTAGCGTACAAGCTTGAATACTCTGAAAATTAGAATAACTTCAGCAAGCCTGTGGAGACCGGAAGTAAGGCTCCAAGGCTTCAAAATGATCTTACTGAATACTTCTTTGTTGTTCTGAATGTTTACTATGAAATATAGAGTATATATTTTTAAAACATCCGATCTTTAATGAGACTGTTTTAGAATCTTGGTATGGTTTTCAAATTCCCAGCCTCCCATGGAGAGGTACAGACCAGGCCCCAGTCAGCAGTGGGCACAGGTACAGCCTTCCCACACTACTCAGCCTCCACTGACTTTAGGCACTTTGTTAGAAAAGCTGGCTGTCCCGGACAGCCCACAGGACTGAGAAAGCAATGTGCTATGTTTAGACAGGGGAAGAAGTCAAATCAGGCGTTGAGCACGCACGCTCATTTCTATGCGGCCCTGGCAGTCCGCACAAATGCCACCGAAGAAATGAAGATGAAGACCAACTGGAACCAAGAGGATGGAAGCATCACATCGCAAGACTCAACAGCAGGCAACATGGGTAACATCTGAAGTCCTGAGACCACAGAGCTGGCTGACGGTGGTCTCCAAAACCAACACAAAGGTCAGTGGCGGCAAGAGAAGCATCGAGAAAAAGGACTGGTGGCAGGCACGAAGCCCCGTCATGGTGATCAGTCACAGGGCTCCAAGAACTTATGAGCACAAAGCGTTCTCCTCTGCACCATCTCATAGGCCACTATTAGAAGCCCTGCTTCCGCAAGGTGGGATGATGTCCAAAAAGCTGGGAGACCTGGGAAAGAACTGAATCATGAAGGCAGGAGGAGGGGCCCAGGGACCTCCACTAATCACAGTAAAAGACACAGTCTCTGGTTTGTATGGACATCTAAAAACAAAACAAAATGAGAAAACCCAACCAACCAAATACTACCAGCACACGTGGGCCACATGCATGGGTAATATGGATGGCTCCACTAGGTAGGACAGCTGATTCAGTAGGAAAGTAAAGAGTTAAAAAAGAATGGAGGGGCTGGAGGGATGGCCTGCGGCTTAAGAACAACGGCTTCTCTTCCAGAGGACCCACATGGTAGTTCACAACTGTTCCTAACCCCAGTTCCAGGGCATCCAGTGCCCTCCCCTTCTGGCCTCCTCAGGCCTCGTATACACATAGTGAACAGACATACATTCAGGCAAAACACTCAGACAAATAAAATGTTTGAAAATATGAATAGAAGTCCGACATTATTTGGCTCTATAGGAAGTCATGGTTTGGATACCAGTTAAGCATCATAAATAATGACTTAAAGGTCTGAGATTGTGGAACGCAAGATGGAATTTAACAAGAAGTCAACATAAAAATAAACAATGCCAAAAGTAAAGGAAGATGAGCGTCACCCTCAGAGAGGGAGCGCTGCAGAGGAGTGGGGCAGGGCGCTGCCCATACTACAAATCTCTGGAAACTGGCTTTTAAAAACTAATAAACAGCAGAAATGACTCATACTTTAATTAACCATTACTATTACTAAGTAATTACAGTAACAGTAACATGAAACAGAGCAAGATTGCAGGTGAATGGCAGAAGACAGACAGGAGAATCAGCCCTTGCTGAGGAATGTGGGGAATGTGGACCCTCAATCTGAACCCCACTAAAAGTCACCAGAGAAAATAAACAAACAGAAGCCACTACAAAACATTTTCCTGCTAACTTCACTAACATTTTTAAACACCAATAAGGTGCATTCCTATCTTCTGAAGAAAGGTTCCATCTCAAAACTGACTTCAGAGCAAGACACAGCACGGGTGTGCACTGCCTCGCAAGCAGCCCAGGCTCACAGGCTACAGAACTTTAGGGTGACCTCTCTGCAGGGGCCACAATTCTTCCAGCTGCCGAGAATTCAATTACCTACAAATTGAAGGAGTAGGAATATTCTAATGCTTATTTCTAAGAACGCATCTTCTGTAAATACATCATCAATCACTTTGTAAAGATTTATATATTTTACCTTATGTGTACATTTAGCCTGTATGGAAGTGTCTATGCAGAAAAGACTGTACAGCAGTGATCCATGACGAGCACGCTGAGACTCGAACCTGGGTCCCTGGCAAGAGCAGCAAGTGCTCTTAACCACTGAACCTTCTATTCTGCCTCCATTAATAACATTTGGGGTGGGAGTTGAGGACAGGGTTTCTCTGTGTAGCACTGACTGTCCTGGAACTCACTTTGTAGACCAGGCTGGCTTGGCAGTCACAGAGATCTGCGTCCCAGAATACTGGGATTAAAGTTGTGTGCCACCACACCCAGCTAAAACTTTTAAAATTAAGGGAAGAAATCAGGGGCTGGAGAGATGGCTCAGTGGTTAAGAGCATTGCCTGCTCTTCCAAAGGTCCTGAGTTCAATTCCCAGCAACCACATGGTGGCTCACAGCCATCTGTGATGAGGCCTGGTGCCCTCTTTAGGCATGCATGTAGACAGACTACTGTATACATAATAAATAAATAAATGTTAAAAAAAAAAGGGAAGAAATCAGAAGACAGATTGGATAAGAAAGCAGATATAAAACGTGGGAAATCCTTTAGGAGAAGCTTTCCATCCTCTGATAGTCCCCAGACATTCCACATTGGGTTCCACGCCCTAATCTGCAGCAATGAGAAAGGCTCCAGCGTCCTGGAAGCAGGCTTGCACACAAATAACCTCTCCAGCAGACTGCCTGGTTCATCCAGAGAGTGGTTCTCAATCTGTGGGTCGCAACCCCTTTGTCAAACCCTTATCTCCAGAAATACTTATATTACCATTCATAATAGTCGCAAAGTTACAGGATGAAGGAGCAATGATGCAGTTTTATGGAACTGTGGAACTGTGTTAAAGGGCCACAGCATTAGAAAGGTTGAGAACCACAACTCTAGACAAAACCTTATTTCCTAGGGACAATTATAAATATATATTTGCAAATTTTTCTCTGCAAATTACGTTTGATTAATACAAACTCTAATAAATTATAAATTGAAAAGAAAAATTTCAGGAACATGGAATGCTATAATTATGGTTTTTTTAAAATTACCACGAGGGAATAAATGCTACTTAAGACCACAATGGAAATGCATGAGAAATAATGTAAAGAGAGCCTGGAACAGAACGCAACAGAAAAAACACAAATGCATTTAAAAACACATGTGGAAACATGCACGCAGGTCAGTACAGAGCAGCCTCAATTTACCTGCCAGGTAGAGGGCGAAGGATATAAACCTGTGGTAGCGAATGAGGAACTGTAGCTGCTCCTCCCTCTGAACAAACGTAGCAAAGTAATCTGCCACCGTCTCTCCATAGAAGAAGTAGTTCACACACAGGAGAAAGTACCTGCAATTGAAACCCATTAGCTTGGTGTGTCTGAATGCTCTCCCCACCAAATGGGACAGAATTATTCTCTGCATTTTAGTGGCAAAAATCAAATTCAAGTGATTAATTCAAAATAAACTCCACAAAAATGCTGCTTTCTCATTTAAACTTTATTTTAGCCCAATCCAGTCAACAGCAAACAGCAATTCACCAAATACAATTCATGTGTTCATTCAAAATATAGTACCACAGACAACAATGTCAAAATACAACAGACAGATGCTCACATGTCCATGCACACACACATACATACACACAGCACTGAATTGATAATGAACAGGCAGATGTGCACACATCTGTGCACACACACAGCATTGAGTTTATAATAAAAATTAACTCCTGGCTGATTAATGTTCTCATGTTTAATAACTAACCCTGGAGAACACAACCTCACCTCACCAGCTAGTTAAGAGGGGAAGGAGGAAGAGGTGGCTGACCATCTCCCCCAGTGCCCCGCACATAGTTCTGACGTTTTTCTCAGTTCTTCTCAAAGCCCAGAAGGGTTCCAATCGAGTAATGATTCTTCATATTTTGATTTGGTGTGTGTGTGTGTGTGTGTGTGTGTGTGTGTGTGTGTGTTTCCCATATATTTTGTTAGAATGGAGAAAAGTACTAGGAGAAAATGACCTCTTCTAATATCAACACCCACTCCACCACTTTCCCCATCTCCAGGATCTTACGATACAGCTCAGGCTGGCCTTGACCTCATGGCCCTCCTGCCTCAGACAAAGGGCAATTGAACAAGTTGTTGTGGCTTGGATCCCAGAAGCAGGGTCACAGGCCTGAGTCAGCACACTCAGGTAGGAACTATTTAGAATAGTTTTAGCCCAGAGGTGAGAAGCAGCTGTTTGAGGAAGGCAGTGGCTTCAGAGAAGATGTTAACGGAACAGATTCCTTCCAGGCACAACCGCGGAGCCTGACTAGAATCTAGTAGAGTGCCGTGTTTCCTACTCCAATCTTGGCAGGGATGAGTGCCTGACATGTTAAAAAAAAAATAAGTAAAGCAAAGCTTTACACACACACATACACACACACACACATCAAATATTTGATATTCTCTGATCAACTGGGAAAAAAGAGAGTTTTTCATAAAATTATGATCAGGAAGGAAATAAAATGATCTATTAATCATTTAGTAGATGTCATTACAAAGACTAAAATGAAAGTTTGAGGAACGTTGTGCTGGAGGAGGAACAAAGGTTATTTTCTTCTTTATAAATTCAGTTACAGACTCTTCCCTGTCCACCCCTCCCCCAAGCCTGCCCTAGTGTCTGTGAGGTCCTTGGCCCAGGAACAGGAACAGGTCCTGCGCCTTCACTGAGGCTGCCCACTCAGAGGGAACCTTCATCTGGCGATGGATGGAGATAGAGACAGAGACCCACATTGGAGCACTGGGCTGAGCTCCCAAGGTCCAAATGAGGAGCAGAAGGAGGGAGAACGTGAGCAAGGAAGTCAGGACTATGAGGGGTGCATCCACCCACTGAGACGGTGGAACTGATCTAAAGGGAGCTCACCAAGGCCAGCTGGACTGGGACTGATGGAGCATGTGATCAAACCAGACTCTCTGAATGTGGCTGTCAATGAAGGCTGACTGAGAAGCCAAGGACAATGGCACTGGGTTTTTATTCTACTGCATTAGATCAGTCCCACCTGGACTGACTTTGTGGGAGCCTGGTTTGTTTGGATGCTCACCTTTATAGACCTGGATGGAGGGGGGGGGACCTTGGACTTCCCACGGGGCAGGGAACCCTAACTGCTGTTAGGACTAGAGAGGGAGGGGTGTGGGGAGGGGGAGGGAAAAGGGAGGCGGGGAGGAGGTAGAAATTTTTAATAAATAAATTAAAAATAATAATAAATAAATTCAGTTACAGCATGTTTCTCTTTCTAAAAATCATCCTGTAATTTAAAACGTTACAGATGAATTCAATTTCCCTATTCAGAGCTGTGTGGCAGTCACTCACCAACTCAGGGTTCTGAACCACGGGAGGTCATAGGAGTGATAGACTCTGTACCCAATGGTGATGATCTCGTGGAAGCATTTCACTTGGATGCCCAGAACCTGGGAGTAAAACAACAGGGTCACATGATATTCAGTGTTTCTATCCGTGCTGTGTAACTTAAAGCAACATCTTGCCATGTGTATTTTAGAAAGTCTTAATCTACCTATTTCTAATTACTCTAAATGGCAATAGCAAAGAGGCGATATTCGCTCTTTCAAGGGAAGTGATGCCGATCGGAGCAGCAAATGGATATTTAAAACAAAGGTCTGAGATCTTCCCAAGAATAGCCAGGGGTAGCGAGTCCTTGGGGAAGTTTCTTATTATTATTTATTGGCACGTATTCGCCATTTCTCGAGATGGATAATCTTTTCTGAGACAGGTCTCAGGACAGACTGGCCTCTCACTCCCTTCTCAGCTCCTCAGCCTCCTGTGTTGCAGGTACCGCATGGCCAGCTCTGGTTTTTCCACTTCCGTCTCTTAGATTACAATGGGAAAAAGTTGACCGAGGGGAGTCTGCTTGGGCGTATGTATCTTTAATCACACGCTACAACACTTACAAAGATGGTGGCATGGACTTTTAATCTTACTTAGCACACAGGAGGCAGAGGCAGCAGATCTCTGTGAGTTCAGAGTTCTCCCCATCTCTACATAAGTGACTTCTAGACCAGCCACAGCCAAATAGTGAGACTCTACCTTAAAAAAAAAATAAAAAATAAAAGGTGATGTCCAGGACAAACAATGGCAGCATGGTCTACAGCCAGCAACAGCTCTGGTGAGTCTGGGCAGCGTCACCGGCATGTTCACACAGACAACAAAGCTGGTGGAGCTCTGCCTGCAAGGTGTCCTTGTGTTCAGGAGCTGAGGTTCTGCTCACAGCCCTTCCCAGTGATAAACCCAGGGATCAAGGTGAGGCTGCTGTAATGGTCTGTCCTGACCCTTTAAGAGATAAGCCCCGCCTACTCCCTCCCCACTCTCCTCACCCCCAACCCCCATTCACCACATAAGCAACAGGATCTTTCTTTCACTTCTAGCTTGAGTCCTTTCCTTTCAGTCTCTCTCCCGAAAAGGTAGCTTCTGCCACTCTCCCTTCTCCCCATTTCTCCCCTTCCCCCCACTCTCTGCCTCTCTCTCTGCTCTTCTCCCCTTCCCCTCTTCCCCTGTTTCCCCTCTATAACCCACTAAATAAATACCCACGTTCTCTGCATGGTGTGCCTAACAGATCTCTGTCTCTCACCCACTGTGTGTTTCCCTGCCTGGGACTGGCTGCTGTGGCCCAGTGTGGTCTCGTGCCTGCTGCCCACTACTGCCACTACTCGGGGACCCATGGTATTTTATTTTTACCATAACATTTGGTACTCCTGACTTGGCCAGGCTCTCTCCACATTCGTTCCTTGCCCACCGGCGGGCCAGCCGAGGACACATGGAACCCTGGGCTCTGGAACCAGTTTCTTTGCAATAGTTCTACACTGTATCTGCCTAAACACTGACCTCTCTGCCCATACCAGCGGCTTCAGTGGTGACTTTTCCCCTTCCAGTCAGCCAACCACAGCTTTCACTGCTGAGGTTGAAGCATTCATTGACATTCATCTCTGGTTGCTTTCCATAGCTAAAAACGTGCCCGGACTAACCAGATTGGTCCTCCCACACTAGCACTGCACACGCTGTGTGGTGCATTCGTCCCTTGGATTTTTCTTTTTCATTTCTTTTGGACCACTCATAAGTAATCCCCGCTGTGAGAGACTGCTCAGAGCGGCCTATTGCCTCTGGCTGCTGAGTAAACTGGACGGGAGCCAGTCAGGCTTTAACACCTGCCTGTAGAGAGGAGACGTCCTCCTATAGGCCCTGCGGTGTTTCTTTGCTGTTTTCGTGGGTTTTCACATTTTCGGCTATAGTATAAACCCTCAAACAATCAGCCACCCACCTGTGAACGCTCTGCTGGTGTCCCACCAGCTCTGCTTTTCCTCAAACTATCCCTGCCACCACTACCACTTGTCCTGCAGAAACCGACCCACTAGGCAGCTGTTTTCACTTCTAGCCATTGCTCCCCACAGTGGATTGTGGCATGGCGGCTCAGCAACAGGGTGGATCATGCCTCTAGGTCTCTCTTCCATACAACATGTGACTGCCGCCATTTTGATTGAGGTCAGGTGACTTTATTGCCATCTTAACTGAGGTCAGGTGACTACCACCATCTTAACTGAGAGACAGGTCAGGTGACCAAGTTACCAAGTTCTACCAGCTTTACTGAGGTATTCCCTGCCTGTTTCCCCAGTGTTAACTGTTACATGGGTGACCTTACCATCATCTTAACTGAGGTCAGGTAACTTTGCTGCCATCTTAACTGAAAACCAGGTCAGGTGACCAAGTCCCGCCATCTTTACTGAGGTATTCCCTACCTGGTTCCCCGGTACTGACTCTGTTGCACGTGCGTTTTGTGCAGTGGCATGCCTTTGGCAGAGCCCACCAAAGCATCCACTTTGCCCAATTCCTGTTCACTGTGTGTGTGTGTGTATGTGTGTGTGTGTGTGTGTGTGCATACATGTATCTTAAGTGTACCTATGTTTACCGTTAAATGTTATAATTTTCTATTCATTGTATCTCATTCTAGACTACAAAATAATAAGTCTCATGTTTTAAACAGGTATGTACTTTTAAGTCTCTTAATCCAACCCCGATTTAAAACATATTAAGCTGTTCTCTACTATTGTCAGTTCTGCCGTTAACCTTCTATTGCAAGCAATTTTTTCTTCTTTTTGTCTTTTTACAAGTATAAATCTTACCTGTTAAGTTGAGAGCCAGCACAGTCAAGCTCAGACCCAGCCCTCCAGGAAGATTCTAGACTGTAGTTATGACTTATCTATACCCAGTAAACAACCCTCATCTGCTTAGAGATCTGGGGAATATGGCATTTAAATGCTTAATTATTAAAAAAAAAACTTTTCATAACAAAAAGAGACAGGTTGGCTCCTAGCAGCAGCACTCTACTTCCTCCAAAGAAGACAGAAGACAAATGGGCACACAATAATGTCCATCCACAATTTGCTTCAACTGCCAAGCACTGACCATTGGGCTAAACTGCCTTTCATCTAAACTGAAGATCTCCAGACGTGGACAGATGGCTGGAATCGACAGCCTAGCTGCTCAGGTCAAGTTAGGCCTGTCTTCCTACAGATTTCTTAGCCCACAGCATCTTCTGGAGCCTGGCAGGCCCTGCACTAAACAACAAAAGAAAAATACGACCCTCAGCGACCATGGAGAACCCTGAAGAGGGGCTCTAGGTGTCAACCAAGTAAGTTATTCTGTAGTTTTTTAATCAATAACTCAAGTAAAACTTTTTCCTTCCAAAGATCTCTGATGCAGTTTGACAGTTGAGAGGTTTTGTTAGTTTAAAAGGACAACCTCACCAAATTTCAGTAAAACACAAATACAAGTTATTAAGGTGTGTACCTGCAAGTTATAAAGGTGTGAGGACAAATACAAGTTATCAAAACTCTCTCATGCTGCCTTCCCTAGTCTTAAAAATACTTTTCTTTGTGTAAAAAACATGTCATAATCATTCTGTTGCTGTTTAAATTTTCATAAACCCAAAGAATTCTTGTGAGTTCCAGGGAGTTGAATTGGAGGATCCACCTTAACAGGTCAGATATACCCCTTTCAATTCCCTAGTCCTAAATTTTTTCTTCAAAACTTAACTTTGTCCTCTGCTGCGCTTTAAACAGGTGTAAGAGACACCAGACATTTCCATACCACAAACACCGGACAGGAGCAAAGAGACCAGCTATGCCAGGATGTGACCAGCACCCAGCTTTCTCAGGTCCCCCTTCCAAGATGCCCACAAATAAGCAGGAAGTAGTTTTGAGAATCCGCCAATCCAATTCCTTTAACCTGTTGTGCCTAACCTCCTGCCTTTTCTTATAAAAAAGAGATATGAATGTAATGGTCCACCCTGTCCCATTAAGATATAAGCCTTGCCCCACCCACTCCTCCCCTCCCCCATTCACTGCTTGAGGCAGGCAGATCTTCCTTCCTCCTTGCAGTCAGGGACTCTTGTCTCTCTCCCTAAGAGGTAGCTGCTGCCATGGCTCCTCTCCCCTTCCCTTCCATAATTTTTTTACTTAAATCATAACAGCTGCAACATCTCACTCAGGCGTGGCCAATTCCAAGACTCAAACAGCACAGTGAGAACCTCTGAGCCAGAAGGGAGTCTTGGTGAACACAATGGATTCTTTTTCTTCCTTTAAACACCACACCCAAGGGCTTGTCATTAATAATCTTGGACAAAAAAAAAAACATGAGACTTTTATAAGTTTAAAGAGTTTACAAATCAAAGACTATAACAGACCAATTTGTAGCTTAGAATCTAAAACACTACTGTTTGGTCTTTCATTGAAAAAGGTTTCAGCATCTCTTGGGGTCGGGGTGAATGAGCCAGTGATAAAACGACACACGGCACAAGCATGAAGACCTAGGTTGACAGACATGACGTTCCAAACCTGGCACTGGGGAAGGGATGGGGCAGACAGCAGGCACATCCCAGGGCTCAGGGGTCAGAGAGAGGCCTGAGCATGAAGCTCCAGGCTCAATGAGAGATCTCTTTGGAGAAAGAGAAGGTGCAGAGACAGACAGACCCTCAACAGCAACCTTCCACCTCCAGGATGTACATGCATGGGAAAGTGCATGCACACACACAAACATGCACACACAGGGGTGGGGGAGAGAAGGATTTCTATAAACTAGCCTTCTCAAACCTGCCATTCAGGGATTTTTAAGCAATCTTGTCACCAAATGTAATTTTTTAAAGTATATGTCCAGTCATATACTTTAAAAAATTAAGTGTTCCCTTTAGCCACATAATAAAGAAATATTATATCAAAGAACAGGAAAGTAAAGAAAGACTGGAGGCAAAAGTCATTAGTGTATTATAAAACAAAGGATATTTAAAGGTCATTCTTCAAATAATCTTTGTGTAAGTATGAAATAAAAGGTTTTTTTCTCAAAAAATAATCACAGAATGGGGACAAAGTTCAATGTGAAGACAAAATGGCAAACCGTACTATTTACAGAACAAAGAGCTGTTAGAATATCACGTGCAGTGATGCGATCTCATGAACACACCCACGCAGCACTGAACACAGCATTGAACGGACAGGAGGAAAAGGGGGCTTTATTCAGCAGCCATGTTATCTGTGTGATTATCATTACAGCTGGCAAGGAGGCTACAGAATGTCTGGGACAACCAAAACTAAGGAATTCAAAGTGCTAGAGATAAGAATCTTTAAAATGTCTTTATAGTTTTAAGAACCAGGGATTATGCAGAAATTGATACATCGTGCTACTGACACTGGTAGTGATAAACACTGAAAGAATTTCCCTGGCCCAATTAATGTGTTAGGAGCTTAAAAACAAGAACCAGTTCTTTAGCAACCACTGAGGAGTCCTGGAAGTGATTTGGGACATTCGCTCTCAGAGAGTCTGTAAAGAAGCATGTAACTCTAAAGCCATGTGGAAACAACCACACACACACACACACACACACACACACACACACACACACAACACACACGGGCAGTGGCAGCACCTGGTGTGGGAGAATTATCTGTATTCTGTCAATCATGTATTTTAATAAAACGCTGATTGGTCAGGCAGGAAGTATAGGCAGGTCAACCAGACAGGAAGTAGAGGCGGGGTGATGAGAATAGGAGTATTCCAGGAAGGAGGAAGTCCCTCCGCCATTCCTTCCCAAGCCACCAAAGAGGCAACATGTGAGGTGCCACGCTGAGAAAGGTACTGAGCCATGTGGCTAACATAGATAATGATAATGAATTAATATAAGTTACAAGGACTAATAAGAAGCCAGAGCTAAGGGCCAATCAGTTTATAACTTATAGAGATCTCTGTGTGATTGATTTTCTCTGGGACTTGCCGGCTGTGGGGTATCAGGCAGGAACAGATACCCCAACAAGCCAGCCCCTCATGTTACAAGCACCAAACAGAAACAGATGACCAATGCATGCTAGGCTGACTAAGTAACTCAGAGATGTCAGAATGCACAGATATGGGTGTGAACAGAGTGCAAACCAGCAGAGAGTGTTGCGGGGGACACGTGGAGACTAGATTAATTGAAGCTGGAAACTAGGAATGTGCCATCTGACAAAAACAACATAGAAAGAATTTATTCCAAAGGTCTTAGAGTTCAGCGATTTGGGGATCTATGGTGACACAGAACGTGGAGCGGGAGGGCACCATGAAACAAGCTGTTCTGTCCAGGAGGCACAGAGTGAGCCGGAAAAGAGACAAGAGCCTCTCTGCTCTGGACTACCTTCTCCCGTTGGTCCACCTTTGGAAGTTGCCACACCTCTGAAAAGTCCATCAGATGGGACCCTGACTAGATGAGACCCCTCTCAGTGATTAGATCCAGGTGGGAAGCAAGCCTTCGACTTAGCCTTTTTAGGCAACACCATCAGAGGGCTAAGGTGAGGAGGGAACACAGAGCAGAAAGGAAAGCCTGGAACAGCAGATTTACACAGGACGGCTGGGGGACAGAACATAGGATTTTGACATGTTGAGTGTCAGCTGTGTGTTATGCAAATAAAGATGCCTATTTTTACTTTAGGAATCTATTTTAAGAAAATAATGATTTATGAAATCATAACTTACTTGTGATCCAGTATGTTCAAAATTAAAGATGTTCTTATTAAAGAATCAGAACATAACCTGAATATTTTAAAAAAAATAGCACAGCAATTTAAATAACACGATGCTTCACATTCCATTAGACAGCAGGAAAGGTAAAGAAATCTTAAGTATTTAAGACAGTTCGATGATTCTCTTTTAAAAATCAGGATCCAGTTGAGCATGGTGCACACTACAATCCCTGCCCTGCAGAGGCTGAAGCAGCAAGTATGCAAGTCTGAGGCCAGTTTGGCCTTCATGAGCAAGTTCAAGGTCGGTCTGGCCTCCACGAGCAAGTTCAAGGTCAGCCTGGCCAACAATGAGCAAGTCTGAGGCCAGCTTGGCCTCCACGAGCAAATTCAAGGTCAGCCTGGCCAACAATGAGCAAGTCTGAGGCCAGCCTGGACAATAAAGCGAGAGCAACTAAAAGTGCTCTGAATTTTGTCAAGGAAATGTAATCTGGCCCTTCCTGGGGGCATCACCCCCTGACTTCCTATGCTGATGAAATTTTTTATTGTGATTAATTTAAATTTCAAATGTATTTTTAATAAAAGGAAAACCACACCGTGCTGCTGATAATCATATCTACTCTCAACAGGACACGGTGATAGACAGGAAGATGAGTTAGGGGCATTCGTCCTCTCCGGCAGGCAGAAGAGGAATGTGAGAAAACGGAAGAGGCTGTATGGACCAAGATGAGAGGAGGAAAGCAGCAGAGTGAAAGGGAGAGTCCAGCACCAGCACAGCTACCCGGTGCACACGTATGTCCTGGGAGGGCAGGGGCCACAGTGGGAGCAGCTGCCTGGTGCACACGTATGTCCCGGGAGGGCAGGGGCCACAGTGGGAGCAGCTGCCTGGTGCACATGTATGTCCCGGGAGGCTAGGGGCCATAGTGGGAGCAGTGGGTACAGCTACCCAGTGCATACATATATCCAGGGAAGACAGGGGCCACAGTGGGAGCGGTGGGCACAGCTGCCTGGTGCACACTTATGTCCTGAGAGGGCAGGAACCATAAGTGGTAGCAGCGGTGCCTGGCCAGGGGAATGAGCAGTTTTATCTACAGAGGTTGTCACCTTCTCAACTTATCCTTACATAGTAATAATGAAGGATACTGTGTGCGCCCCTGGATGTGTGTGCACATCCTGTGTGAATGGTCGTCACTATCCACTGCTAAGCCATGCCTAGATAATTGGAAACACCTGGTAAATCTGTTGAGCGAATGGATTTCTCCTGGCTCCCACAACTGAGGCGGACATTGAGTGAGGAATGCCTCCACACCCAGCCCCTCTCCCTACCTCCACGATTCCTATTTAACCTTCAGGTGGACACTCATGTGTTGCACAATGCTCCAGAATGTCTGCCAACTCCTTTTCTGCTCTGACAGTGCAAGTCTTCATTTAAAATACGCAGTCTGTACTGAGGAGTGGCTAATCCGTTCTTTACACTGTAAACAGCAAGCACCGTGAAAACAGACTGGTGTGCTCTTCTGAGCACCAGCATTAACACACCCCGGAGCTTCGGTAATGCTTGCGACGCACTAGTCACCTTGAAGCATTTATGAAATGAATGAAGTCAGAGCTTAATTTATCTGTTTGCCCTCATGACTTGTTAGGCTTCCGATACACATCTAAATCTCCCAGGAGGGCATGTACTCAACTCACCAGTCTCATCCCTAAGGGTTACACACAGGCCAGCTTGGACCCCATGCAGGCGGTACCACCTTCTCTCATTAGCTCCTCCCTTGATTGACACTGGGGTAGCCACCTTGAAGTCCACCTTGCTTTCTCTGGGTAATCTTCAGAATCAAGCTTAGGCACCATCTCTCTGTAAGCCTTTGCTAACCCTGTTTCAGAGCAGACGGCATGTTTCTCTATCCCTGTGCTGAGACATGGCCTGTCACGAGACTTACACTACTGAGTCCTCTGAGTGCTTCTGTTGTCACTCTAAGCTCTATGAAGTCAGGGACCGAGTCAGCTATAAGTATTTGGAAGTGCTATATGCATTTCCGTCACACCTAATGTTCTGCACAATACTGGATACGTAGGTATCTATGTATTAATGCACGCCCACTTGGTCTCTGCTGCATGAGCACACTGAGGGGCCACTGTGCAAACAAAAGATTCATCTAGATCATTCATCAATTCATAGATTCATCTAGATAATTTCATGAAATAGAAACTGCTGAAAGGAGCTGAATTTGCCGTCATCAAGTCGTGGTTACCTCTTTATGATGATATGTCGAACAACTTCAATGATATGCAACTATTGAAAATTCAAGGCACTTAGGCTGGTGCCAACCACTTACCAGGAGCATCAGCATGAAGGACCCCATATAGATGATCAGGAAAAACAAGGAGATCATGGTCAGAGTGAGGATGCCTCGGATCCACCAGTTCTTCCATCTACGGAGAAGTCCATAAAGTCGGGATTTAATAACATGATTTCAAACTTTTGGTATGTGTGGTTTCAACACAATTCCCAGAACCGGGAATTTCTCCTAACTGTTCTTTAAGAATACCTTATTTCAGCCAGACAGGTGGTGGCACACACCTTTAATCCCAGCACTTGGGAGGCAGAGATAGGTGAATCTCTGTGAGTTCAAGGTCAGCCTGGTCTACAAGAGGACAGGCTCCAAAGACACAGAGAAACCCTGTCTTGAAAAAACAAAAAACAAAAACAAAAACAAAAAATGAAAGAAAAAACAAACAAAAAAAGACTACCTTATCTTATATAATGGCGGCAACAGCTAATACTCTACACTGTGTTAGCTAAAGAGAGAAAGGGGCTGTCATTAAGTAAAAGTCAGGGAGTCGCAAGGACAGAGAGCAGGGCGTCAGCCTGGATGTGGGAATGGGACTTCCCCATGGGTTTTGTGAGGGAGCAGCCTGAGGTGAGTCTTGGAAAGGAGACGCTTGGGCTCCCAGAGTCGTATAAACAATGTCTCGCTAAGAATGTGTCACTGCCAGCAGAGTTTGTTTCTCAGGGCGGAGCACCCCAGCAACAAGGAGGGGCTGGCTCCTGGTACGCTGCCGCCGAGGGCTGGTCTGAAGTGCTGGCTCCTGGTACGCCGAGGGCTGGGCCCCCTCAGACCTCTGCTTCAAGGCCAAAGCACCCAGCAACCCCCTCCTCTGAAGCTGTTCCCTACGAGAATATCCCTTGGGAGTCCTTGTGTTACTTGAACATGCCACGAGGTAGACTGGTAGACACTATACACAAACCTAGGAAAATCCTAATACGTGACTGTTGCTTGTAAGCCATATTAGAAACCCTAATGTGTCACACCCCTGCAGTCCCAGCTACCTGGTGCGGCGATGGAAGGCCACAACAAGGCGCTGTCTCCTAAACAGACTCTGAAAGCACCGGAATGTGCAGTATGTAGATCACTCTGGATCCAAACTCTCCACTGTCTTTAAGATGGTGTTTTCTGCCATACATGCTTTAGGCCCCACACAGTTGGAGGCTCCCATGGATTCCAACTTCTCCTATGTGAGTCAATACATCCTCCATGAGTTTCTCTAGCAACCTTCGTGGAGATCCAAGGGCCTCAGCTGCATGTGTTGGACGTGTATTGTAAGAATTTGAGGACCATTTGAACACTGAATGACGGGATGTTTTATGTAAGCGGTGCGTTACTCTCCACACACCAACCCCTCCTTTAGTACACCGTCACCTGCCGAGGGCCGTGGCCATAAAACGCACATGTACAGAGTATTTGCTCAGCAAATATTTGATGAACTAGTGAGCCAATCAACAGGTTAACAAAAATACAGGCATAAAGTTTAAAACAGGATTTTCAGGGCCAGCAAGATGGTTCAGCAGGCAAAGGGGTTTGCTCTACAGGCCTGGTGAAGGCATAAGGTAGGACAGATCTAGAGAGTTCTCCTCTAACCTTTGACCTCTGACCTCCACACACCAGTGCTGTGGCTCGTGTATATACGAACATATACATAATAAATTTTAAAATAACCTTGAAAAGGTTTTCATCAGTTGTCACTGCAAACTGGCAGGGAAGGCAGGACGGGCGACCTGAATGGCTAGGTGACAGGCAATCATCAGAGAGCAGGAAGCGGAAGGATGCCAGTGCCCTGCAGGTGTCCTTTCCCTGGTTCACACAGTCCAGCACCCCTGTCAAAGGGGCCCTGCCACCATGAGCAGGGTGGGTCTCCCTGCTCCACTAAGCCTCTCTGTAACCACTGCTATAGACACACTCCAGTGTGTCTAATTTATGCTTTGGGTGTTTGGAAATCAAACCAAACTGACAAAGTTAACTACTACATACGAGTTTTATTAGTTCCAGTAATAACATTTAATTTGTATTACAAAAGATTTTGATTCAATCTAGTCAAGAAAGCATGAATCCTAAGTGTGTGTGTGTGTGATTGTATGTATGCGTGTGTATGTGTGTAGTACTGGGGCTCACATGCAAAAGAACCATGAACACAGGACAAGCACTCCACCCTTGAGTCACACCCTCATCCCCTCTCCTGCATAGTTTAGACACTTCTTCAAACAATCCTTTAACGCCATCTCTGTACTCAAGGATTCAAAATTGTCAACAACAGGAAGACGACAGTTTCTTGCCAGCTTCCCAGACTCCCTGAGGTCTTGAACTGAGTTTGCTCTTCCACATTTCCCTCTACTGTTCAGTAAACATGCACAACCATGATGCCTTTCATCGGGCGTCAGGCCTCAACTAAAAAGTAGTGTACAGTCAAAAGTACAACTGAAGGGTTCTGCTTAGTTGCACAGATGTAACTCTTGCAGATTAATGAATGGATTAGGGAACTGGGCTAAGTCATAAAGTACCTTAAGCCCGGCAGTGATGATAATCCTGTCCTGTCTGCATGCAACCCGGAATATTTAGCCTTCCCGAGAGAAGAATCATAAACCAGGCCCTGATGGGAGCTGACACCGCTCAGATGTCTGTGTCTGCTCTGAGCTTTAACAGCAGCAGCTGCTGAGCTGGAGACGTGAAGAAGACACCCACTCTCTTCCCATGGTCTCACCATCACAGTCAGCACACCCTGGCCCTCAAGGAACACATACAGTGTGCTCCTAGTCACTCTTCAAAGGGAGAAAACTTCTGCTGGCATCCAAATTAATGGGTATCACTGTGATATATTGCTGTCTATACATATATATTAAACTTAACTTTTATCTGCCCCCCCCCAAAGGCTGGTCCCCTTCCTCACCAAATCATGCACCACCCTTTCACGGCACATGTACCGTATGACTCCTCTTGTCCCACCACCCCGCTGCCTTTACATCTCCTTCTTCTCTTTCTTGGTCTATGAGTACACGCACATACAAAGACACACACACACATGCCCACTGTTCTACACACAAATTGAAAGCTAGATTCCACATTATTCTGAGTCTGACTAATTTTGCATAATGCAATGATCTCTGGCTTCATCCATTTTCCTGCAAATATTATAACTATATTCTTTGAAGCTAAATAAAATTCTCAGGGTCCGTGGACCACATCTTCCTGATCCATTTATATGTTGGTGACATCCAGGGCGTGGCTCCTGTGGACAGCAGCAGGACAGCATTCACATGGCTGCATCTCCTAAGAGTCCTGCAGGCTCACACCCAGAAGGGATGTGGCTGGGTCACATGTGGTTCTTTTTAAATGATTTTACTATATTTTAATTATGTGTGTCTGTGTGTGGGTATGTGCATGTGTGACTGGGTGTCCATGGAGTACAGGAGAGGGGACTTGGACCCCTAGAGCTGGAGTTACAGGTTGCTGTGAGCTGCCTGACATGGGTGCTGAGAAACCCAAGACCTCTGTAAGAGCAGCATGTGCTCTCAACCAACAACCCACCACTCTAGCCCTCTTTTAAAAAATGGTTACATTGTATTTATTTTGTGAATTTAATTTTGCGCATAGTGAGAGATAATAGATCATGCTTAAGAGAGAGCCAAACTTAGCATCTTAGTCTCATGTCTCTCTTGTTGGCTGCAGTATAGAGACACATCTGGCAGTTGCCAGTAAACCATGAGCTAAGCCACATGGCAAGTTACTCAGTCTCTCACAAGGGCTACAATAGAGTCTCCCCGTTGCTGCCCGTGGGCATAAGCTGCCAACACAAGCTCCACCAGTGTGCTGCATGATGAGCCTGGTGTTTTTGCTCAAGTAGACAGAAAAGGTTCCAGATATACAGTAAAGAGATTCAGATAAAAAAAAACTTTTTAAAACAGTGCATTAAAAAATATGTGTAGGCTTGGGAGAGAAAAGAAAAGGATAGAGAAAGTCCCCTAAAAACAAAGAGAGTAATAAAAAATATAATAAGCCATGTAAAGATGGGGCATGCACAGAGAGTCTGGATCCTGTATGTTACTGTGCTGTCTTTAAATTTTTGGCTGCTAAGAGACACTAGATTTTTAAAATTGATAAGAGTCAATCAATCTATGTATTTTTAAAATATCTTGACTTCAAACTTTATATCAAAAGATATGTTACCTTGGGGGAGAGGTTTCGTTTTTGTGTCCACAGGAAATGAGAGGCTGTGGATTCATTCAGGGTTAAAGAAAATCAGGTTTGATCAAGGAAGATCCCCTGAGATTCTGACTACAGAAGTAAAGAAATAAACCTAAAAGAATTACAAAACAAGTGATGTGTATTCAAACACATGAAAAAATTATCTGTGGCTGATTTATGTACAATGCACAATCTATGCTTGCATATCTGTATTAATGCAGATATACTTTAAAGATTATGCATTTCCATAGCAAGGGGACCAAACACCAATGAAAATGGGTCCATCATTTCAAAATGCCTCTAACAGCCTTCTCAAAATTCTGCATCCAGAACAGCTTCAAGGCTGCTGACTGAGATGAGGTAGCTTCACAAAATACTCCAGTCAAGACCTGACCATAATCTTAAATTTTCTCAGGGTCGCCAAAGATAAAAGAACCCACAAACGACAAGAAGCAGTCTAGAAAACTATGCCCACATTCCCAAAAGATGGACTATGGATATTTATCATCATTTAAGGGTGTTGGTTACAAGTTGTTATAACAGGAAAAAAAGCTGAACAAAGGAGATTAGGTCCAGGGGTCTAATTCTAAAAAGTAAAAGGGGGATATAGAAATGATAAGATAAAAGGATAGATTGATAAATCCACTTTAATCTAAAAACAACTATTAACCTTAAATATTTCCCATTGGTGTAGATTTTGGTTTACTGATACAAATTTAAAGGTAATTTTGTTTTACCACATATATATTTCTTCTCTTATTTAATAGCAGACTTATTTAAGACTGTGTTTATGCAGGCCATTTAAAAATATAAAATACAATTAAAAATAGATTAATAGTAATCTATAATAGTCAAACTTACAGTCATGTTAGCTATGTTTTCAAGGTCATATGCAGATATTTTTAGATAGATGAT